TGCCATCCCTCTAAATTCGATGCACCTCCCTGGCTCTATCTCCCTTTACCTCCGAAATCCTAACCCTACCCATAATCTCTAGTGAGTCTTGTCTTTATTTATGGCCTCTTTGAATCGCAGGATTGATAAAACGTAGGATTTTGATAGGAATGTAAGTGTAAAACACATGATTGTAAAATAGAGGAAAAACATAGGAATGGCCGTTTGATTGAACCGCAGAAAAAACACAGGAATTAGATGAGAGAGATAGACTCAAAGTTACTAAGAGATTGAAGCTTTTGCTAAATTTCCTCCAAAATCTCTATAGGATTGGCCATTCCATAGAAATTTCAAAAGATTTAATAGGATTCAATCCTTTGTTTCAAAAAACTTCATAGAAAATTTTTCTATAGAATTAAAATCCTCTAAAATTCCTATGTTTTTTCTCCAATTCAAAGGGGCCCTTAGGTTGGAATTTGGAAAGTGTTCGCGAGAAATCAAGCGGTCGCACGTTAGCGAATTAGGATTTCCGGAAACAAAGGACCGACTCCGCCTATCCATCGTCACGAGCACAGTGTAGAACCTCCCAGACCTCAAGAGACCGTTCAAAAAGCGCGCGCCCAAGCGGGGCCCACCAACGCGTCCCCACCGTGTCGCCTCCTGATTGGTTGTCCCCTCTTCCTTTCACGCGAACCGGCACCCTCCCGACCCTTCCAGAACCCCCAATCCGACGGCCAGGATCGCCCGCGCGCGAACGTTCTAGACCCCCGCCACCTCCGCCACAAAACCTCTGCCCCTCCCCTCTCCCCCCGCTTCGTCTCGTTCGAGAAATCAGAAAGAGAGAGAAATTCCCACGCAGCAGCAAGCAATCCAATCCGAGAGCGCGCGTTTGCGATTATTCGCTTTCGATTCCGCGAGGTTTTTGGAGAGGGAGGAGAAGGAGGAGGAGATGTCGAAGGGGGAAGGGCCGGCGATCGGGATCGACCTGGGGACGACCTACTCGTGCGTGGGCGTGTGGCAGCACGACCGCGTGGAGATCATCGCCAACGACCAGGGGAACCGGACCACGCCGTCGTACGTCGCCTTCACCGACACCGAGCGGCTCATCGGCGACGCCGCCAAGAACCAGGTCGCCATGAACCCAACCAACACCGTCTTCGGTACGTTACCCTGCATCCTCCCGCCCTCCCTCTCCCTGCTTCCACTTTTGCTTGCGCCGGTTGTGACTGTGAACGCGATCTGCACCGTGGTTTTTTAGTTTTGGATGTGTAAAAGAGTGTACTAGATCGATGAGAATATGATGCCCTGTTCTAGTGTCCTCTGGTAATTATGTTTCTGTCCTCTGTAATCTGTATGGGTTGGAGTAGCTATGGAATCAGTTCTGCAACTCCGTGGTTTCTTCTTCTGAATAGATGTGTTAGGAGAGGTTCTGCGATTTGTTCACGCGTAGCTAAAAGTTGAGCATATGTTACAGATCAATTTTACTTGCTTACTGCTCGTGCCAATTCCCAAAGGAGTTAATATGTCAATTTTGCTTTGGTTCATTGTGCACAGGCATGTTGTTAGGTCCACTGGAATAGTATATGAACAGTTTCTCGACCAAATCGAAATCGTGCTTTTTATTTAGTGAAGATTTGGGTCTCACTGCTGTGTAGAATTTTGATGAATGCCACTAAAATAGATGGAGATTATGTTTGCTTCTTGGATTTACTTTAGTAGATTAGATTTGGAATTTTCTGCTGAATCAATGGACCAATCGAACTCATTGGAGATTATGTTTGCTTTTATATATTTAGTGAAGATTGAGTCTCACTGCTGTAGTGCTGTGTAGAATTTTGATAATAAATGCTAGTTGAACAGTTGGACCATTGTATTTGCTTTGTTGATTTGAAATTTTCTGCTGAATCGATGGAGCAATCGAACTCACTGGTGTTGCGATTTTTCTCAATCTCAAACGCAGATGCGAAGCGGTTGATTGGTAGGAGGTTCTCCGACCCGTCCGTGCAGAGTGACATGAAGCTATGGCCGTTCAAGGTGGTGCCTGGCCCCGGCGACAAGCCGATGATCGTCGTCCAGTACAAGGGCGAGGAGAAGCAGTTCGCCGCGGAGGAGATCTCGTCCATGGTGCTGATCAAGATGAGGGAGATCGCGGAGGCCTACCTCGGCTCGTCCATCAAGAACGCCGTGGTCACCGTCCCGGCCTACTTCAACGACTCGCAGAGGCAGGCCACCAAGGACGCCGGCGTCATCGCCGGGCTCAACGTGATGCGCATCATCAACGAGCCCACCGCCGCCGCCATCGCGTACGGCCTCGACAAGAAGGCGACGAGCAGCGGCGAGAAGAACGTGCTCATCTTTGACCTCGGCGGCGGCACGTTCGACGTGTCGCTGCTCACCATCGAGGAGGGCATCTTCGAGGTCAAGGCCACCGCCGGCGACACCCACCTCGGCGGCGAGGACTTCGACAACCGCATGGTGAACCACTTCGTGCAGGAGTTCAAGCGCAAGAACAAGAAGGACATCAGCGGCAACCCGCGCGCGCTGCGGCGGCTCAGGACGGCGTGCGAGCGCGCCAAGCGCACGCTGTCGTCGACGGCGCAGACCACCATTGAGATCGACTCGCTGTACGAGGGCATCGACTTCTACACGACGATCACCAGGGCGCGGTTCGAGGAGCTCAACATGGACCTGTTCCGCAAGTGCATGGAGCCCGTGGAGAAGTGCCTCCGCGACGCCAAGATGGACAAGAGCAGCGTGCACGACGTCGTGCTCGTCGGCGGCTCCACCCGCATCCCCAAGGTGCAGCAACTGCTCCAGGACTTCTTCAACGGCAAGGAGCTCTGCAAGAGCATCAACCCCGACGAGGCCGTGGCGTACGGCGCCGCCGTCCAGGCCGCCATCCTGAGCGGCGAGGGCAACGAGAAGGTGCAGGACCTGCTCCTGCTCGACGTCACCCCGCTGTCCCTCGGCCTCGAGACCGCCGGCGGCGTCATGACCGTGCTCATCCCGAGGAACACCACCATCCCGACCAAGAAGGAGCAGGTCTTCTCCACCTACTCCGACAACCAGCCCGGCGTCCTGATCCAGGTGTACGAGGGCGAGCGCGCCAGGACCAAGGACAACAACCTCCTCGGCAAGTTCGAGCTCTCCGGCATCCCACCGGCGCCGCGCGGCGTGCCCCAGATCAACGTCTGCTTCGACATCGACGCCAACGGCATCCTGAACGTGTCCGCGGAGGACAAGACGACGGGGCAGAAGAACAAGATCACCATCACCAACGACAAGGGGCGGCTGAGCAAGGAGGAGATCGAGAAGATGGTGCAGGAGGCGGAGAAGTACAAGGCCGAGGACGAGGAGCACAAGAAGAAGGTGGACGCCAAGAACGCCCTCGAGAACTACGCCTACAACATGCGCAACACCATCAAGGACGAGAAGATCGCCTCCAAGCTCGCCGCCGACGACAAGAAGAGGATCGAGGACGCCATCGATGGCGCCATCAGCTGGCTCGACACCAACCAGCTCGCCGAGGCCGACGAGTTCGAGGACAAGATGAAGGAGCTGGAGGGCATCTGCAACCCGATCATCGCCAAGATGTACCAGGGCCCCGGCGCCGACATGGCCGGAGGCATGGACGAGGACGCGCCGGCGGGCGGCAGCGGCGCAGGCCCCAAGATCGAGGAGGTCGACTAAACTGCTCCATGGTTGCCGCTCACGATGTTCTTTCTGCCATCGTCTCTTTTGGCTGTGGCTTGATCTGTCGTATCGTCGTTGCTTCTGGTAGAAATTAAGTGAGAGTTGTGGGGGAGGAACGCTGTGGTTTACCTGTGGTTTGGAACTTTCATCTGAACAGCTTTTGGATATGGCGATGCATTCTTAGTTAATTATTGTGAGTAACTCTGTTTTGCTCCGTTCTTTCTTTTTTTATCTGTGCAATGCTCGACTCTGGGCCAAACGGGTCTCTCCTTCGACAGCTTTGATCTCGCTATAAGAGCAATCAGATATTTTATGTTGCCCAGTCGTTCGTAAGTTTTGCAAATGTTAATTTACTTAAAGCCAGTGTAAATTTTGCAAATGGCCGAGTTTAGTTCTAAAATTTTTCTTCTAATTTTCAACTTTTTCATCACATTAAAACTTTCCTACACATAAACTTTCAACTTTTCTGTCACATCATTTTAATTTTAACCAAACTTCTAATTTTAACGTGAATGGAGCAAGTCCTAAATGGTCAGTTTATCGAGATTGAACTCATTTTTTCTTCGAGAAAATTTCAATACTACCTCCGTTCGTGAAACCTACGAGGCAAAATGTTTTGTTGAACACAAAAACATGCTTATGGAATCATTTGTTTGGTTAACTAACGTACCATTTATCAATGTATGAGATATTTCAGTACTGTACACTAGTTGCATTCGGGTGTCAATTATCAATTAGCTTGTGTAAATTAATCGGTCAACGTGTCATATTAACAGGGTGTTAACAGGGGGTTATGTTGTTCGTTCTTATTGAAAAATTGTCTTAAAACACAAGATACCTTGTAACAATCGCAATATTGAGTTTTGCACTAGGGATACCTCAAACCCTGTTTTTAAGAAATGTACACATTTCTAGTCACTCACAAACCCTCCTGAACAGGCTGAATGTTATCACAGCCACCAACATTATCCGATTAAATAAGCGAATCGAGCAGGCTAAAGCCAACAAGGGACGAATGTGCACGGATACGGCCAGGCCAAATGAACAAGCAAAGCATTAAACAGCTAACTAGGGAGTACGAATGATACGTTCGACTACCAACATTTAACTTTCTTATGACCAATACATTCGAGTATCATCACTTTCTTTTAAGATTTAAACTATGCTTACGAGGTGAGCCCATCCAAAAAAGTGTAATCGCGAAAATAAAGATTGGATCCAGCACGACGCTGCAAGCGAAATACACCCTAAGCTACAAAATAAAGACTGGGGAGTATAGTCCCCAAGCATGTCGCCCTCAGCGCATCAGTACCAGCGGCAAAAGTAACTAATCAAGCAAATTTAAGGTGGCAAACCATGCATTGAAAGGATCAAAAACACAAGACAGGAGGTTTTTAACACAGAACTAACACCATGATGTTTAGCTGGATAATAGAGTGCAATTCTAGTAGTAGGGTTCTACAAGAGTAAACTCAACAAGACAATATTGCCATGGACTTCATGAACTTGGAGATACTCTATTTCTTCTTCTCGGTGTGAGCGTGACCGCCACCAGACCTGCATATCACAAAAGAAAGTTAGTTTAAATTGAAAACAAAGCACAAGGCTAAAGAAAATATAATTGTACCAATACTATTAAAACTCATCCCGAATGTTTCATTTTCATGAATTTAAGTTTGTCAACTTTATAATACCATTATAAAATGATAAACAATGAACTGTACACATACAAAAGTGATCCTTCCTAAAACATATAGTATATCTAAGCAACAATCTGCACTGTGCCTTAACATTCATTCTTTGTTTAAGACACACGACAGGTCCAATTATGTTACATATGATTTATTATTTCCTGCGCAATACAAGAAATTTGTACTTATAATCACAAATGAACACTACCTTTCGAAAAAACACACATACAAAGACACTAAACAATATAGAATAAATAAAACAAATGGTAGCACAGTTCTGATAATAAACTACAAACTAACAATTACAACTAAACTAGTTCAAACAATATTAATAGGCACAAATTCAATTGCAACGGAAGACAAGGTAACCAATAGAATAATAACAGGTGTTTTTATCAAGGCTGGAAGATTACACACCTCATCTTCCTGAGGACACCAGCCATCTCCTCTCTCTTCTTCTTGGCCCTCTTGTGGGTGCCAAGCTTTCTCTTTGCCACCTTCAGTGCACGCTTGTCCTTGCCAACTTTGAGAAGCTCAGTGATACGCTTCTCATAGGGAGCAAATCCAGCAACCTCCCTGATCAAGTTCCTGACAAAGGTCACCCTCTTGGTGGATTTCTGCAAATTAACATGCCAACAAGGTAAGTGCAAATGCAATAGGAAATAATGGCCAGTAAACTGCAAAGCAGATAATATAAAGCAGGATCAAATCATTGAACCAAACAACATATAATAGAAAAATAGCAACCCTAGGTTTTATGTAATGCAAACAAAAAAAATAACACAAGTGCACCTTGGATACCTCAGAGAGGAAATTCTGTTGATACAGAAGCATGACTTCACACACAGAAACATGGCAAACAATATCTTGTCAGCTGTAAGAATAACGAACTAAAACCACTATTCCCATCATTTTAATGAATATCTAGGCATACACATGTAGACTAATTGCTGAAATAAAAAAAAACTTGCTCCCCCACAAATACAAAGGCAAAGCAAGAATAGTACAAGGGGAAAAAATACAGTACCACCGCCATTTCTAAATACAAACTGGAAAAAAAGACAGAAATGAAATGCATACTAGGATTGAGAAGGTTGAGGGGTCAACTATATCAGTCAATACTAGCAGGCATCACGCCCTCTGCAGCATACATAGGATCCATGCAAAAATCTCGACCTACAACACGAATCTACGGAGAGAAACGAAGCTACGCACTAAATCCACACAGATCAAACACGGACAAGCATCACCGCCCAGCTCGTCGGGCTGAAACAGCTCGTGCTACGGGATCAGAGGCGCTTACCCCCTTGCGGTCGGACGGGCGAGGCGGCAGCTCGCGCTTGGTGACGACGTGGCCCTTGTTGATGCCCACGAAGAGCCCGGACTTCGGCTGCGACGGCGCCATCGGGGAGCCCTTTTTCCTGCACGAACAAGCAGCGGGAGAAGATCTACGTGAGCGGCGCCGAGGGAGGAGAGAGGCTAGGGTTTCAGATCGGAGGCGGAGGTGGTGGCGGCGGCGGCTGGCTTACCTTACCTGGGAGAAATGAAGCGGCGGCGGCTAGGGAGGAAACCCTAGCGGAGGAGTGCTCTTATATAGGCGCGCGCCGCGTCGCGGTATCCAGGGTGATAGACGGGCTGGGCTAAATGGGCCTTTGTTGTGGGCTTGTGGCCATGTGATTTCCTTGTGTTTTTCATTTTATTTTGGGATGGAATAAGTCTATATTACCTCCGTTATCTCTTCCTTCTCGTTGAATCATCTCTCTTAACCGCAAAACCTAGTATAACGCCTCTCCTATCTTCGAAAACCAATGCAAGACGATCATGGTTGATTCGCTGAGTCAGCAGGTAAGGCACACATGTTAGGGACTATCCTCTCCTCTAGTTTGCCCCTCAACCACGCGGTCTTCGCCTTGTCGTCGTCCTCCTTGGCCGATATGAAGTATGAGTCCAGCATACCACTATCGGCATTATATCCGAGCACGATAACCCACCCCCCTGCATGGTTGTGGAGCAACGGGTCGGCACTTTGCAGATTTGGTGGCGGTGGCGATGGCCCATCGTAGGGCGGACCACATGTTGTCGTAGCAGGCGGGGTGCTCCGGCGTGAGGCAGTAATTAACTAACAACACGAGGACACACCGTCAGGAGTAGAGGCAGTTGGCAAACCAGTGCTATAGTGCATCCATGGGCGAGCCGATGATGAGGTTGTCGCTATGGAGGTACAAGACAACGGGTAGTAGTTTCTTCTTGCCGCCGCAACCATCAAGGTCGAGGGAAGTAGAGGCGCACCCACGGTTCGATGCCTGGGTCGATGGGGATATCGCCTCCCCGCGACGCCCAAGGGCAGGACGTGAGTGTTCGGGAAGAGGCACTCTACGCTACTGCTTTGATAGCACCGGATAAGCGGCACGAACTTGGACGTGATCTCGTCGTTGCTCTATCCTATATGCGCGACGCAGAGTCGCGCATATGCACTTTGTGGGTTAGTGAGGAACACGTTGTAACCACGCCCTCCCTCCCGATGGATCAATTCGTCCCCACCGAGCCCTGCTCCACCGACCACCTCTCTTTGCCATCTTGTCCTTTTCGTGTTCTCACCACCGTGCCACATGTCCACACTTGGGGTGGAACGAGGAGGAGGAAAGGAGAGAAGTAGATGAAGCAGATGCAGAGCTGACTAGTGGATCCCACACAACCCACCTCCTTGATTTACCCACATAGGAAGAAGACAGAGTCCTGACATGTGGGCCCCACCCACTAACTTAGCGAGTCAACCGTGGTCAGCCTGCCACATAAAAAAAAAGCTCTCCGCAAACCATCGAAGGAGTTGATTTGCACTAATTTTCGATGATAGGGGAGGTTATTTCTGGTTTTACGGTTGAAGTAGGCTATTCAAGCATGGAGGAAGAGATGAGAGAGGCAAAATACACTTTTTACTTTTGGGACATTAGAGAGGTGGGCCACCTGTTGATTAGGGGAAGGGAAATATGAACTGGGCTTTCTCGTTGAGCTTTCCTCGAGCAAAGGCCTTTGTACGTCATTGATGGGCCGTCAAATCACTACAGTTCAATGTGAGGTGCTTAACTGCTTAAGGCCACATGATTGGGCGTAAAATCAAGAGAAAATCTCACGTGTACCTGAAATTTTACCCAATCTCTTTTGTGCCCCGGAGTTTTGCTTATTTTCTTATGTACCTCTGAATTTTAGTTTGCATATCTTCCATACCTGTTTCATTAGTTGATCATAAGTTGACTATTGAATTCTTATCAAAAAGTCCATTTTGCTATTGGGTATGAAGAAACATATAAATTTATCGAGTACTATAATTATGATTTACGACAAAAACGTAGATAAGACACTATAAATATTTATTTATTAGTTACTAAAAATTGTTTATGTAGCAAATAAATAGATTTGTCTTATAAAAAATATGCTGCAGTATCGCCATCAACAAAAATATGCTTACTTATACAATTTAAAATTTAAAAAATAGTTATAATTATTTTATTTTATATCTAAAACTAAATTTTATCGTAAACAATATCTCGAACAACAAATTCATAGAAATAAAAGTCTCATAAAAAAAATTCTATACTCCAATAGTATATTTTATAAATTTATACATGTTTCTTCATATCAAAGGACAAAATAGTTTTTCACTAAGAATTTAACGGTTAACTAAACGGAAGGGGTCCAAACTAAATTTAAGTGGTATGTAAGGAATGAGCAAAATTCAGAAACATAAAAGGAATCGAGCAATGTATCATAGGCATACATAGAATTTTCTCTAAAATCAAACATCTATATTAGCCATATAGATTCTCAAGTTCTCAACCGACTATCTTTTTGGATTACGTGACTTGGTAGCTCGGTGGAATCAAGAAGTGAACTTAAAACATCTGTGCTGTTTCAACTATGGTTTTCCAGCGTCGGAACGTGTACTTAAACATCTGTGCTCGGTACAAAAAAAATGCTGTTTCAGGATTAACGTCCGTTCTACCCCCAGAGAAACGGAGAGACAGACAGAAGAGCGAACAATCTGTTGCAACTTGCAAGCATCAAGTATACCACTGCACAATATGCCTATGCTTACCTGCAACTGACCAGCAATATCCTTTGGCACTACTCTTCTTGTTTACGGGCACACAGTAGTAACAGTGGTACTGATCAGTAGGCACGGGCTGACTACTAGTCATCCCCATTAACACTAACCACTGTTTCCCATCACTGGTGTAGTAGTAGGCCGCTGGGTTTGAGCTGTGAACCCCTAATCATTTCGTGAGCGAGACATGGTGTACGCTAGCTGTTTATAGTCCAGTAGTACAATTATTATTATGGCACCGGCTTTGGCCCTATACACCACGTGACCACCCATACGAGAAAAAAAAAACACTCTCCGTCCCAAAATAAATACTATACAATTAGTAGATTTATGTGTTCTTTACTGGCTGTCTTATTTAAAGAAAATTTATGACCGATATTTTGATTGTTATTATATGATAAAATATGAATAGTATTTTATACGTGACTTAATTTTTAAACTTTTTTATAACTTTTTTAAAAAGAGAATAGTCAAACGTTGAACATAGAAATACGTTAATGAATTTATTTTACGATAGAGGGTAAACCTGCAAGGCTGCACCCCGTGCAGTCGTACTTGCCCAATTGCGACGGCTTCCCAGGATAGCTCCCAGCTAAAACCAAGCACGAGAAAGCCCAAATAAGCCGTATATCATATATGGACATGGGCGTATATACGCATATACTTCCTCCATAAAAAAAACTCAACCAGCTCTCTTAGAACAACGAATCTATATAAAGGATTGTCTAAATTCGTTGTCGACCCCTCCTAGATTGAGTTTTTTTTTTTTGGAGAAAGTTACGCAGGGGCGGATCCAACGTGATACCCCGGAGCACTCCTTCGATTTTTTCATTATGAATGATAAACTAAGCGTTTCTAAATGGTTAGAGATTGAAGAAACTGTATAACTGAGCCCTCTCAAAAATTGTTCCTGGATCCGCCCTGGTATGTACGTATCCATGGATGTATATGTACGTATGTTTTAGCTAATCTAGTCCTTGAACTTTTGCTCATGGGTCAAATTAGTCCTTGATGTTTTACATTGTCCAAACAAATCCCTTAAGATTATCATATGGCTTAATATAGTCTTTGGACCCACTTAAAACACCACATGTACATACCACATCATTCATGCATATACAGTCAACATTTAAATATCCATCTTGCCCTTACATTTTCTACAGAAAAAAGAAAAATAACAATGGGAAAAACATGAAGAAAGCAATCATAAAACAAAAGGAAAATGCCACAGTCTTAAGTTACGAATGCAACATCGTTTTTCCAATGGCTAAATGTCTTTTTTTTTCTTAGTTATTTTTATTTATTTCCTATGGAGAATGTAAGGGTAAAATGGACATTTTAAATGTTGAATTTGCATGCGCAGGTGATGTGGCATGCACACGTGGCATTTTTAGTGGGTCCAAGGACTATATCAAATCACACAATAAAGTTTAGGGACTTATTTGGACAATACGAAACATGAAGGACTAAATTGATCCTTAAGTGAAAGTTCAAGGTCATATTTGGTTATTCACCCTTCTGTTTATGAGGACGCGTATCGGAGTCGCATCCTGCGTGGCGTGGCATGGCAGTGCTAATGTCAACTGCACCTCGGATCGGTTTGTAGTACGAGAAAAGCAGCCTCACAGACGTGATAGAACAGTGCTGAACAGGACACTTACTGTTGTGCAGCGAGGAGAGGACTGGACAGTGATAACTGCACCGTAGTCTTCTTGTCTGGAAAGAAATGAAGAACGAACATTACATACCCGTACACCTCAATTCAACAATCTCAACGGTCATGAAAACCTCCAGTAAAACAGATTCGAAGCTCCTTTAGAACACATGGATTTTGCTGCACTGGAGTACTCCCTCCGTGCTTAAAAAAAAATCAATCTAGAAGAGTATGTGATTCTTTTTGTTTAGATACATTATTGATTCTTTTTAGATGAAGGGAGTATATGATAAATTAAACTACCGCAAAAATTCTCTAAAATTCCACGTTCCAAATGAGGCCTCCTACGTGCAGCGAGGATACATATATCATGAAATAAAAGTACTAATCACCGCGAGAACTCGTTGGCAAAAGAGAAAGGTCCGAACTGCGTATACCTTCCCTTTTTTTCATTACTGATCGATGTGAAAATTCTACAAAATCTCCTCCATTCCTAACAAGTATGATTGATTTGTCAATATTTGCTCATCGGCTTAAGCTTTTCGATCGAAGAATGTATCACAATGTGATATCAAACCAGAGTTCTCCATTTTGAATATTGACCAGCGCAATTAAATAAAATAATGTACACTTACAACTTGTAAATGAAAAACAACTACAGTCCACTTACAACTTGGGAACCTCTACGTGAGGAGCGTTGAACTCCAAATGAGCTAAATGAATCGTCCGCCTTTACCCATTAGCTAGCTACTAGTAGTAACTTTTTGGGTAAAATTTGGAGATACACGGAATTCACTCAACTTGACAACTTCAATAGACACGCCACAAATTGTGTTCCATCAATTGGCATGGGGTTTTCAGGTTTCTGAACCCTGAGATCATAAACCATCAGTACTAGGGCCTTTGATTTGTAGGAAAAACATATAAATTTTGAGGATTTTAATCCTGTAGAAAAATTTTCTATGAAGGACTTTAAAGCAAAGGATTGAATCCTATTCTATCCAACGAAATTCCTATAGAATGGACAATCATCTAAAGAATATTGGAGGGAACTTAGCAAGTGCTCTAACCTTTTGAAAATTTTCCTTCTATATCTCTCATCTTATTCTTACGTTTTTCATGCGGTTCAATCAAACGGTTATTTATGTGTCTTTTTATGCATTTTGTAATTTTATGTGAAGTATTTACATTCCTATCAGAATTATACGTTTTTCTTATTCCTTCTTTTTTTTTTCATTCCTCCTATTCAAAAGGGTCCTAAATTAGGGTTGGGCACTACCAGTCAGCCGGTGCCTGAAAGCAGAGCACATGCGAGGCTGGCAAACGCCGGCAAAGCGGGGGGGCCACAGCACGCATATGCACTGCCCGGGCGCGAACCCTCGCAAGACTGCAAGGCTACAAGTCTTCTCGCGCCACCACGCGACATTTCACGGCGAATGGACCCAAAACATCACCAGCTCACACTGAACCAAGAAGCATCTTGTCTTCACGGATGTTAGGCAAACCCATACTCGCTGGTACGTAGAGTAACATCGACTGACTATGTTAGGGCCCCCCTTGACTACTTGGAACACATTGCTTTAGGATAAGTACTGTAAATACTACCTCCTTTCCGTAATGAGTTCAATTTTAGCCCGTTTCATTTATCTAAAATAAATTTATTTTTAAAGTAATCATTGCATCGAAATTCATGGAATAGCGATAGTCTAAATATATGAAAGCAACAAGCTTTCTGAAAGGAGGATGACCCACATCATCATCTACAATGGTAAGGACCATTAGATGAACTGGTAAATAAAAATGCACCGTTGGATCATCATGCTCATATATGATAATGGAAACATGTTGGACCAATCCGGATGCTCCCAGACTAAAGATCTCAAAAAGCAGACATGTACTTAGCCTTTTTAATACCGCTGTTTAAAAAGAAGTCTTTTTACACTATATATACGTTTGCTTAATTAATTTCATGACTAAATAAAGGAAAAAATATGAAGCCTTAGCCATAAATTTATATTGAATTTATATGCAGGTTTATATCGATAATGTACAAGAGTGTACATGTAAATACTCTGTTATACACTTGTTTTGCTTGGTATTGGAGCAACACACAACAGCTAAGCAGCATCCGCTATGTACCAATTTTATTTTAAAACAATCCCTATAAACACACACATACACCCTGGACTTAGGAGCATTAAATGTTTTTTGATGTCTCCGTTCTAAAATATAGGTGCCTTTAACATTCAAAATTTATCGTAAAATATAGCTATTTCTACATCTACTCCCTCATCTTAACCAACATAGTCATATCCTATTTAATTTCTTCGCCTTCTTTTTAATGTCAATCAATTACAACATTCCACCATTTACATCTCTAGCTACTGTATCATTCCCAAAATAAGTATTTTCTATCATTCAAATTTTACATACAAATATAAGCATTTATAGGAAACAAATTTCAATGCATATCTAAACATTTTTAGCCAAATGTTTAGCCAATCAGATGTTCGGAAAGAGCCAATTGGAGCAGTTCAAATTTTAATAGTAAGTGATTGAAACAAATCATTCCTCCTTAATCTTACTCTTTACTAAAAAAACTAGAAATACTTATATATAATAATTAATGGAGTACATTTGAGAACGAAGAAATTAACATACTTACAAAACCGGTACCTTCAATTAATGTCATGATCAATGGCCTAATTATATAGGTAGGTTATGCTGACGCTCAGAGTCACGCAAAGCACAACTAAGTGACTAGTTGTATTCGAAGTAGATAAAATAATGAATAATTGAATTGGGATTTGATGAAGTAGAAATATTCTATTTTTTATTTTATATTAGTATATATTAGTATATACATGATATGTGTGAAAATAAACTTATTTTAGAACGGAGGTAGTATCTCTTACTACTAAATTACAGGTTCACAGCTTACATTAACAGCTGAAGAGTGCACACGTTTCACAAGAAGATGCACGCGAGTACTACTACCAGGGTTGCATCTCAGCCGTCCGATCAGCTTCCTGGGGCTATCAGCTCTGGTGGAATTCCTGCCGGGCGGTGACGTGGCAGGGAGACAAGAAGCAGACGCAACAAGTGCCAGAAGGGCAAGGGAAGGGCCAGCGCGACGACGCGAGCAGAGGGGAAAAAAAAAGGCGATCGAATCTAACGGGGCAGCGCTGACGCCGGCCTGACGGCCGCGGCGTCCCCTACCCAGCCAGCTCACTGCCACCCCCCACCCTCCTCCTCTCCTCTCCCCTCACCTCCCCGGTCACTTCACCACCTTCTTCCCCCAACCCCATGCAAATCTTCCAAGCAAAGATGGGGATGAATTTGATGAAGCATCAGCCATCAGGCACAACATGAACATGGAATCGATTGGATCTTTACAGGATGGTACATTACTAGTACTATTATTTCCCTTTTGCCAACATGAAGCAGCTGGTAAGAACAAAAAGAAAAAAAGAAAGCGAAAATAATAATAATAATGCTGCTTTGCAGCTCAATCTGAATTCACCTCTTCTCAAACTTCTCCCCTTCCCCAGTGTACAGGTTATAACAAAAAAAAAGAAAAGAAAAAAGAAAAGCAAAAATTCGAGCTCAACAAGGATGGTAATGGACAAGCAAACGAACCGGATCTCATACCAGAGGTAGCAGTAGTGGTAGTAGTAGTAGATACAACAATGCTATACACCACCGGCCAATTGTCGGTTTCGTCGTCGCCGCCGCTGCCGCCACCGCCGCAGCCGCCGCCGTGTGGTTCGCGTTGCCGGCGGTGTCGCGCAGCGCCGGCGGCGACGATAGCTTTGTCGGCGCGCTCTCGGGTGATTCCGCCGGCAGCGCGGCCGGCGGGGGCGCCGACGCGACGGCGACGATGGCGGAGTCGCTGCGGCTGAACATTTCCTTCGGGAGGAGCACCTTGGAGACGGCGAACACGGCGACGGGGTTCTGGTCGAACACCGTGCGTGTGATGGTCGCCTGCACGACGCCGGTGTCGATGGCGACGGAGCCGTTGGCGCGTGTGATGTTGAGGGTGAAGCGCCCGGCCTGGGTGAACTCGGTGGCGAGCGTGGGCTGGACGGGGTTGACGATGGACTCGAGGGAGCCGAGCGGGTAGTAGGAGTGGAGGACGTGGAAGCGGAGTACGACGGCCTTTCGCTCGGCGGGGAGGGACTGGAGGCGGTCGCCGGCAGGGAGGCCGGCGAAGGCGTCGTCGGTGGGGGCGAACACCGTGATGCCGGCGCCGCGCTCGTCGGCCTCGAACTCGTCCGCCACGCCGGAGGCCTCCAGCATGGACGCCGCCACGTTGAAGGCCCGCGCGTCGGCGAGGACCTTGGTGATGTTGACGGCGGCGGGGGGCCGCGACTCCGACGCCGCGAGGTCGAACCCGGACGGCACGATGAGGCCGTCCACGGCGAGCACGCTCAGGTTGTACGGCACGGCGGTGATGGCGCCGAGCACGGTGGCGTTCGACCCCGGGAACGGCGCCGGCGAGCGGACGACGGCGAGGGACGGCCCCGCGGCGGTGACGTTGACGGCGCCGAGGTCGGCGGGGGCGCGGCCGGTGGTCTGGAACAGCGTGGTGACCAGCTTCCCGGATGCCGGCAGGCGGCGGAGGTCGGCGGGGGCGAGGTACTCGAGCAGGACGTGGTAGCGGAGCACGTCGGCGAGGTCGGCCCCGGACGCCGCGGCGTACGCCGACGGCGACTGGGGGAGGTTCCCGTTCGGCACGGCCAGCAGCGTCAGCGACGACCGCCCCGCGAGCTCCCTGGCCACCGGGCTGGACGCGAGCAGCCGCGCGAAGCCGGCGAGGTCCGGGAACGCCGCGAGCACCGCCGCCACGTCCACCCCGGACGCGACCGGCAGCGGCTGGAGCGCCGCGGCGAGCAGCAGCGCGGCCACCGCCGCGACGACGACGCGGGAGGAGGCGGCGGCGGTGGGAGGAGGGATCTGTCGTCCCCGCATCTTCGCCGCCACAGTGGGTGGGGTGGGGGGGGGGGGGTGGGGGGAGCTCAGCTCACTATACTGACCGACTCGGGAAGAGTGGGGGAGGGGGGAGTGAGGTGGTGGTGGTGGTGAGCTCGTGTTGGGTGATGTGGGGAGGTGACCCGAGCCGAGCGGAAATGAGTTTTTTTTTTTTTTTGGCTCTATATTTTTTCACGAAGAAAAAAAATCAATAGGTTTTTTCTGTTTAGATTTATTGTTTTCTCGAATCGATTTCAGTGCAAAGTTTTCGTGCCGCGTGTTGTGATTTGTGCTTTGGGGAAATTAATGGCGTCGGGGCGTGGGTGGGTGGCTTGGCCTGTAGTAGCAGCGACGAGCGCCAGCCAGCCTCGACGCAGGTTTTTCTTTCTTTTTTTTTGGGCGAAAAGGTTTGGTAATGATAGGTGGGTCCAGTGCGGGGTGGGGCCCACTGACAGGTAGGCGTGTTAGTTGGGTCGTTTTACTCGCTTCTGTATGAAAATGGTAGGCTCACTGTTCGGTTTTACTAAATCCGGACATGGCCTGATCCGGTTCAGGCATTCAGCAGCTCCGCCACCTCCATGGCCATCGGATGACGTCGAGAAAAGAGCAAGAACTAGTTGAGGACTGCGTCATTTCTGGACAACTAGTAGAAAGGAGAATCTTTTGTGGGTCTGATTGGTGATTACATAACATGGGACGGACATAAGAATGCAGGCAAAATGATGCAAAAGTGCAGCTTTACGGTAAAAATGCTTTGTTCTCTTTGAAGAGTGTGTCGAGGAAAGCAAGCAATGGGAGTAGTAATTATCCCTAATCAGATTATGCCGCGCATTCTACATGGAAGAATCAAGAATCAGGTAAGAGTGCAAGACAAAAAAATCCGTCTCCTATTTGCTATTGCAGTTTGTGTTTCATGAAGAGCGGATTCCATTTCTTACCCACTATATCTTATGTAACGAAACATCAAACATCTAAGCCCAATAGAGGGCAGGTAAAAAGAAAAAAAAAGAGCCAGAACGCCTTCATTAAACTGCCCAGGACCTACAGATCAGTACTTGCATGGGATCTAGACTAAATTCATTTTGGAAAAAGGCACCTAGGAAGAATAGTTTTGGCTAATGATTTTTGCTCTTTTTAATGCAGGCTTCAGTTGTTTGTCTGCCGATAGAGAGATTTCTTTGGGGGGACGAAACAAAGCACGTGAAAGGCAAGAGGAAAGGAAAACATTTTTTTCTCACCATGAAGGCGGGCGTAGCCAAATGCATCATTCGGATAAGCCTGAGCACAGCGAGCCTTGTTGGGAGTACCTCCATGAACTATGCGCCTCCCCAAAAATAGGATGCTGATAAGAAAGGATGATGAAAAGGGTTACTCTAAATCTGCCATTTTTAAGGGAAAAAAAAGAAAAGGGAAGCTAAAATCAGACATGTTGAGCTCACTGGCAGGCAGACTGGCTTCATTTCGTCAAGACTTGTCGTTTAATATGAACGAGTATTCGTCAGACCCAGATTCCCATTGCTCACCAACGGTCTTGCATGTGAGCCACCTTCAGACTTCAGTGACCAAAGCCTGCTGCTGGCTCTGCCAAAGTTAAATGTTCGGTCCTACTACACCAGAATGAACTCAATGAAGTATTCAGAATACATGTACAAACAAGGAAGGAATGGTTTACCATGTGCAGAAGATGAACAGATGATAAAAACTTGATCAATCGGGGTAATCTTTCAGAGATTCTCATCACCAAGCAGCTTGACAAGTATATAAAAGTGAGATGATAGTATTTTTGGGTCAACATGAGAGATAATCAAGTAGAGCATCTTGCTATTTCAGTTGAAAATAGTGCAGTGTCAGACAAAGTTGCAACAGAGGAGAAGACCTAGCTATAGAACACAAAGGGGGAAAATGGTGGTAGCTGCCATTTTTAGAGCAAGATAGAAAAAACAAAAATCAAATTCACAAATACTTGTTGTCCATTCAAAATTTGTATAGTATCATACATCATATTGTCAACTATACACATGTACAAGGGTTAGTACTACATCAAACTGGTTGATATTTCACTGACTACAACTACAGCTCTACAGGTGTCAGATCTGTTTGTTGAATGCTAATGAGCAAATGTATTGTTAGTTCTTAGCTCCAGGATGGACTATGATTCAAGGACAAAGAAAAAAACTGTCACCGGAAAAGAATGGGTTACTGTACAATGATGTGATAAGGTAATGCTCACTGAAGTAATGAACCAGAACCAATTATACCATGAAGCCAGAAAGAATAAAGTTAGTCCACTGAAATGGCACTTGAGATGCTATCTAGTTTGATTGTGTTTAGAATTTTCTGTTCTGTTCAAGCGACACATGCAGTTCGGACAGGGAAAGGTGTATATGGATTCAATAGGCCTTTTCATTTCAACCCCCTTAGCATCACTGTGTGTTCTCATATTAAGCAAGTGCCGTTTCAATGATTTCCATCTGCAGAGAAACAGAGAAAATTGACTATCAACATGAAGTTTATAGCGTAGAAAATGCTATACGGCCTGAAAAAAAAGTACATAAAAGTAAATGCACGGCACAACATCATACCCAATACGTGGATTGTCAAATAGTATGGCTAGTTTTCTTTTGTCTGGTTTAATTGTCCTTGAATGCCCAGCATACAAGTATCTCCTGTGACCCATAAGGAAATGAGGGAAATTCCCACCTTGTGTAGTCACAAAAGCATCGCTATGGACACAAACACTGTAGTCAATAGCAGCCATCCTCGAGGAGAAATCCTGGCAACCACAAATCCTTTAGAGTAATGAATAGAACAAAATCTAGAACCACACAAAGAGAAGTTGCAACTACCACAATACCTTAAATGGAGCAAGTTCCTCAGCAGATGCTAAAGTTTCTTTTGTCTGTAGGAGAGGGAACATTTCAAGAAGAGGAACCATGTTCTTCTCAGCTCTGTAAATTTTTCCAGAAGCCAAAAAAATTGCAGTATTATTGCTGAAACCCATTCCACGAAGCATTAACCCAACCTGAAAATTGTAACATAAGCAAGTAAATCTTCCTGATAATTCCTGCAGTGTTCCTATATTAAATTGATGTTATGGGTGAAAAGAAAATGAGAAGAGCATGGAGCAGCATAATGAGATTGAGACGAAAGTTCTAAAACTCCACTACGGGCAGTATTTCTGCTATTAGACATGGTAGTACCTCCAAAGGTGTGAGTGGACATTTTCCGTTCATTCTTATCACTCCTGGCCTTATTACACGTCCTCGCTTAGTGAACTTCCCTCTCCAACCTATTTCTCTGGCTGCATTCATTTCCTTCTTCTCCTCATCACCACCATCATAGACACAACATGAGAAGGCAACCATATCCTGCAAGGAAACAGTTAGTGGATACCTCCGCTACTAAAGATAGGTAAATCTTCTAGGAAAGAATCCAACCTCCTCAAAACGAAGATGCACCGCGATGTATTTCCCATTGCTCGCCGTGCTTTTTTCTTTCATTCGAGAGACTAAGGTCTCAGATAGAGTCGCAATTGGGTTGGAAAATTTTAAAGCTTCAAAATTAGCCAAGCATCTCAACCGTTGAACAACTGGAGGGGCATCAAATGACAGCCGGTTCGCAAAGGGTGAAATCCTGATGAGCCTGCGCTTTGCATAGTAGTAAAAGATGTCACTTTTTAAACAAACAGCATCAGGCAAAATTCCACATTATCTTGACTACGTATCTACGTAAACAGGGAAACAGTCCTTTGCTATTAACTCTACAAATTTCATAATTTATTGATCCATCTAGATGTAGAGAGAAGCATCAGGCCATCAAGCTGTAACCAATTTAACATTCTTTAGAATGGTGACTCAAACTCCTATGGCTGATATCCAAGATTCTGGAATCCCACTAGGACAAATTTAATGATATGGGTTAAAGAGATGATACACACTATAGGTGAGTGAAAACTGTTAATATTAGGATGCTCTACACTAAATAATTATAGGTCAATACAACATTGAGTAAAAACAAAATTATGTGGTGGGATGTCTGAATCAACTTTCTTTGGTGATTCCCTGTTAGCGCAGTTTCTCTAAGTTTTATACTCTTTTTATAGTAATCATATAATGAGGTTATGTTAACTACATCTAAGATTATAAAGACAAAACGAAATCTACATGTTACAATAATAAACAAGTGAGTCCAAAATGTTGCGGGCATTGGGTCGGCCTGGTCCAAGTGAGGATATTGGGGAAAATCGGGTGCATATGTAAGTTTAAGTCATTAAATAAATAACTGGATTAGTTTCTATCTCACCTTTCCTCAATCAACTTAGGAAGAACAGCATCTTTGTAGTATTGAATAGGGGACCAAGCCTTTATCTTGAAATTGAATACATTGCTAAGATTGTGGCCAAATCGCTCCATTATAAAATCAGGCACCTTTTCAACTACTCGTACATCATTTTGAAGACGTTTTACAAAGTGAGCCTCATCATAAATATCGCTGAATGTGCTGTATCCAAAAGGATATATCAGTAACTGTTTTTTTTTTGTTACCATAAGCATCGATTTCTAATAACCATAGATGTTACTTTCTTCAGTCATATAGATCAACGTTTACTAAGTGTATAGAACAGTTGAATTCATTTCCAAAAAAACAATGATCGTTAAAGAACTTGATAAGAATGCAAGTTTGCAACAGGTGACCCAAAGCTACATCCATTCAACAAACAAGTCAGCCAATGTGTCTGCTAGAATTGATTAATCACATACTTTTAGAACTGCCAGAATAACTCTTACAGTCCTTGATATGACAGACAACTAAGAAACAACCATTACAAACTTTGGCCTTTTTATGTGATACCTGTGCAGTCATGTACAAGTCACTCTCCACATCTACAAATTTGTATATGTGATCTTAAGAATATGCAGCCATAGAATGGGAGAACTAGTGCAGATGACAATGTGACAAGTTGACAACCATGCAAGCACGCATTTACATTCTGTTAACACCTCCTACATCCTTTGTTATGCATGCAATCATTATTTTATTCTCTGCTATTAGAAGGTGATTAGTGTATGGCATTTTTTAATTCACGAGAGGGTCCAACTCTGTCATGCCAGTTTTACGTGCTAACTGCTAAGTCTAATAAGAAAATACCTGGGATCCCTCCAAATACTATGGAAATGGAAGTTTGGGATAACAAGAGTGGCGTTCAAGAAACCGGCGATAGCAACTGCATTGCATATCTGAAAACCAGAAAGAAAAACACAAGTGAAACAAAAGTGAGTAACTCAAGATAGACAAACAAAAGGCATGGCGAGAACGAATGTAAACTGTTGGAAGGAATGAACTGCTGAGGAGAAGCAATTACCGATGTCCTTTGTTGATTCAAACCACCATTTGCCTCAATATATATGTATCCATTTGATTCAGGCAGACCTAATAAAAAAGTAAAAAAAAGATTGTAAGGTGGTAACCTGAAATACTGTCAGCATTCGATTGTGTAAAAAAGGCACCCACCCACATGGCATGGAAGTTGCCAAAAAAAGAGGGAGATATAATCATGCGTTGAACATGTTCAAAAATATCTAAATTCCTCATAAGCTAACTCTTTCTATGTTACCCAATTACCCAATTATGTGACAACATAAGTGTAATATGTTTATGGAAAAATAACAAGTAAAACTCATTGGATTACATTAAAAACATTCCTGAAGGAAAAATAAGCAATTTTAGAAAACAGGAACATGGGCAAACTTTAACATCTATTGTGTCTTGTTCCATAAAGAAAAGAGAAGGTTAAGTCCAGTAAATGACATACTATTGGTAGCATTGTTTATGCAAGGTCGCCAGAGACTGCCTTTGTACCTCCACAGGGTTGCAAGCTAGAAAAATATCAGTACGAGTGAAACAACCAAAGATGGAAATAGCACAAAAGTAAATAAGAAGTGACCATTGCTACAGTTAATTTGAAATAGGAAAGGAAAACATCTGCAAATACATGAAAAAGAATGTTCTTGTACACCACTCTAACTAACATGCTTTACTGAAGATCCTTTGCATAAGTATTGCATCATATAAGATGGGTACAGAATACACACCCGCTTAGTTCTAATTTGATTCATCACTCAGTCATTTCATGACAGCTGATGAAGAGCAATCTACCCACCGAGCAATTTAGAACAACTGGAAGGGTAGCAGAAATTAAACAATTCTTAGTCAGGCAATCAATGGCCTTGCAGTTGCAAGGGCTGAGAATTTTGTTAGTGCAAGCTTAAGTCGCCCATTTTCAGATTTGATATAAAATTAGCTGTCCCTGTCACCTCGCAACAACATAAATTTGCGAAAGAGCAAACAAAATCTCAGTTAACTGAAACACTCTCTACACCAAACCAATACGAACATTACAGGAGCAGACACAGCTAATCATCATAATGGTCAGACATTTGTGCCACATTGCAACTGAAATACACACACACAGCAGTAAACCTGCAAAGGAGGAGCCACTGACCGCGTCGGTGGAGTTGTCGGCGTCCATGTCGGCGCGGAGGCGCGCGTACAGCTGCGGGCTGCGGTACACCGACCCGGGCGCCGGGCGCGCGACGATCCGCGGCACGACGTCGAGCGGGATGGACCCCATGTACAGCAGCATGGCCGCGACGTACAGCAGCGGCGCGAACAGGAACACCGCCTGCCTCCGGTGCAGCGCCGCGAGCACCGCCCTCGCCGCCCTCCTCGCCGCGCAGCCGCACCCGACCCCCGTCCACCCCGCCGCCGCCGACGCCGACGCCGAGCCCCCCTTACCCGGCGTCCTCCTCCCACTCCCGCCCCCGCCCCGCTGCAGGGACGCCACCGCCGCCACAGCCGGTGGCACCGGCGGCGGGGACGGCGCGCCGCCGAGTCTGCCGAGGCGGCTGTACGTCTGGCCCGGCATCGGGGGGCCTCCCGCGACGAACCTGCCGGCGGGATCCCCCGCCCCCTTGGGCGCGCGCGATGCCCGCGATCGCCCGCTCCCGCGGCGAGCAATGGAGGCGGAGCGCGAGCGAGAGAGACGGGAGAGGTAGCCGAGGTGGTGGCGGTGGTGAGAGCGAGCGGGGGAGGAGGAGGAGGCGCGAGTCGAGTGCCCGGCACGTGACCGCTCCCGCTCGACGCCCGAGGTGGCCTCGGCCCGCCGCGGCCGGAGTGGGTACGAGCCTACGAGGGTTCACGAAACCACCGATGGAATTTCGGTTCGTGAAAATCAGTCGGTCATTTGCCGTGAAACCGCTAGGTATCGGTTTGTGAAAATGAGTCGTATGTATTAATCGGTTTTCATATCGTGTTGATTGAGAATCGTTGGTTTTTACTGGTTTTCGGTCAGATTTTAATAAACCAGTGAGAAACGATTTTTACTTTGAAATCGAAAAGTTAAACCTTGATTGAGGACATAGCAAAGAAAAACCCCGTGTAGAGAATCTCAACTCCTCGATCAATGATCACTCGAGTTTGGAAGTCGTAGTGGATTACGAATTGAAAAGAGTTTGAAGTTTAAAAAGATAGGCAAAACTGAAAAAGAGTTTGAAATTTAAAATTATTTTAAGTGTACTTTTCAATTACAGCATGGGACTATCTAGAGAACTGTCGAAAGTTTTTTAAGAAGAAAACTTTCAAATCTAACTATAGTATAATTACAATATAATTTCGTATATAAGTATAATGTAACTCATATATAAATATTAAAATAATATATGTAACAATATATCTAAATTATATAGAGATGATAATGTTGTTATATTTTAGTTACATAGTAGTTACAATGTAGTTACAATGCAGTTACACTGTAGTTACATTATATCTAGGGTGTAACTGGAGTATAACTAGAATATAACTCATCTAACTTCTCAAAAACATGCGCATGCATGCCTTCCAGGATGGAGGTCCTGGGTTCGAGCCAGCCCCTGCAAGCGCACATGTACAGGAATCACGGCGCAGATCGCACGGTCAAAAAATCGAAAGTTTTCAGCCTCAAAAACTGTCGACTGTCGACAGCTAGATGTCCGTAGTTTCAACCAAAAAAAATGGCGTATTCAACGTTTCAACGGCGAGGAATGGCCTGGCGTGTTGTGCCAAAGCTCACCAGACACACGAAAGCCTCGAGAGCGATCAGGTGACACGATGGAAATGGAAGGAAAAAAACACATCACGAGCCAAGTACAGTGTGTGGTTCATGCGACTTTAGCCGGAGAAGCCGTGGCATTATTTGTTCGCGTCAGCAGATTGGGGATAGCGACGGCCTGATCGCGACACTGTCAGCAATGAAGGTAGCCATGAAAGGGAACTGTGTGCCCTACCGCTCAAGGATTTGGTGTTGGATCCATGGCAATGGACACAACTACTACTAGTGCATTTTATTTTCTTGTGATAAATGCTGGTCTATGTGTTGCCCTTGCTGGCAATGCTGGCAGGCATACTGGGAAAAAAAATGATATGATCCCTCTGTCCGGATCGGATTTTTATGTCTAATTTGTTATAAGATTGTTATATTTTACAAAGGATGAAGCATATATATGTATTCAATCTTAAAATGTCTGCTGGATTCATCTGCATCAATTGGTTATGCAACGAGAGGCCAACAGCTATATGCAAATCGAAGATGTTTTCATCTTGTCCAATTCAGTCATTTGGCAGTAGCTGTTTTAGGAGTTCTCGAGTCTGGTCTTGTGAATGATCTGCTAACGAATAAGTGGCGCCCTGTCCAGGACGGTAGCAAATAGCTGAAGAGAAGGACGGGTGTCTTTTTCATGCCTCAAAGCTGTATCCGTGCAATCACCGTAAGAACTGGTTGCATATAAATGATGTTAAAGCTTTAGGTGATATATCATATCATATACTCCTTAACTCCTACTGTACTATGCATATCTTTTGGGATGGTTCAATCAGGATTGTGGGTGCTTCCAATGGATTTAATCACAGCAAGGACAAAAATCTATCAAAGGCATAACCTGTGTGCTTCTGTGGTCTGGAACCTGAAGAAAACTTGAGCCACATTTCAGATGTAAATTACTACTAGAGTATTTATATTTGTAAAATGCCAGGTTGCCCGTCTAGCTCAGTCGGTAGAACGCAAGGCTTTTAACCTTGTGGTCGTGGGTTCGAGCCCCACGGTGGGCGATTCTTTTGTTTTTCTCGACTCATTATGTTCTATGACCAGAAATCAGATATCAGAACATGTTATTTTCTCTCTCGATTTTTTATTTTCAGAACTACGCCTTGTGTTTTATGTTCAGAAATCAGAACTACAGAAAATTTGGCAATGGTTGCACTGTCAGTAAATACACTACAATACGGTTTTTCTTATTGTGTGTTATGTTCAGAAACTATAGAAAATTTGGAAAGGTTGCACTGTGAGTAAATACACAACACGCAGCATCGGTGCCCAAATTCAAGGAATGTAAAAACGTTTCACAGATTTCAGTTCAGCAGAATGAACTAATCAAAGTAAAAAATGCGGATTCTCGGAGAAAATCTGCAACAAAGAGCAAGACTGGTGCTCGAATTCACCAAAACATGAAAGAAATTCACGGATTCAATGCTCAAGGTACCAAGAAATATTCCACAAATTTCATTTCCTGCTGCTCGTGCAAGTCAGCTCAAATTAAACGGCGGTTTCTCGGAGAAAATCTACAACAGAGAGGAGCAACCATTGCTCCATACTCTAGTAGTACATCAGATGACTACAGCTACAATTACACCCAAGGAATCATGGATGGTACACAAACTACAGATTGCTTAAATTCGGCAATACAGGAGGGAGCTAACTTGATTCAGCGGCAGACCTGGCTGATAATCACAAGTCAATAGCCCACAACAATCTGACCGTTAATATGAGCCAGCATCTTCAAAGTGGTAGAGTTCGGTGGCATTTCCATTCCGGTGATCATTTGAAGATTCCAGTCGCTGTCTTGCACAAAATATCTTGTATCTATTCGATGCGCGACATAAATGAATTAGTTAGGAGTTTTATGTTAGTACATAAAAGAAGGGACGTGTCGATATGATAATGTGCCTACAGAAAACAAGAGCAAAATGTTACCTGTTTTGATGATAGACCAATATTTCCCAAATCTGAAAGCTGTCAAATCAATTTGGGTTAGAAGATGACCAATGATCTCACTATCAGGATTGTCTGTTAGTAGTCTAGAAGTCTTACAGATTTAAATGGTCTGGGCGAATCTTCTCGAAGCTCAAGAATGTACTCTGCCCTCCTTTCACCAATGCCCTAACAAAGGAAAAATTAGTCAGAAAGAGCAGGCTGCTATAATAGCCTCCAGATTATGATGAGAAGCAAGGAACATACTTTCAACTTCTGTAGTTCTTCCCTGCATCCACAAATAAACAGAATGAATAATCAGAAAAGGGTGGAACATATCAAATATGAGATATAACTCATCTATGTAAAGAAAGTGAAATAGAGAACATGTAGCACATACTTGTTTGCAACATTTAAGAAATCAAGGTATTGCTGAATAAGAGATTCCTGTGTAAGACAGTTATTTGAAGATCAGTTAGAATATAGCAGTTCGCTGGAGTAGTACTCAGATATAGAGTGGGGAGGGAAAGCATACAGACCTTCAGGTTAGAGCCAAGTGCAATAAATTTATCAAGGGGTGTAGCACCTGTGACCTTCCCTACTATGTTGCATGATCCCATTGGAGTTCTCAGCTCCAACAACATCAAGCAATTGCTATCATCAGCTGTCCGTTGCTTTTGAGGATCCATGTTTGAAGAAATGGGGGAAAGTGCCTTCCTAAGAGATGATCCAGTTTTGTCCTCTTTGCATGGAGTTAATGAAGGGAGCACCACTGCACAACATACTGTACACCTTAGACATATGAAATCACAGGTGGAGATCCAAAGTTGGTAGTTTGTAAATCGCAACTAGCTTGTGTATGATTACCGACAAGATAATACACACTGAAATCTCTGTTCACTATAAAAATGCAACTTTTCTGCATGTCTAGAAAAAAAAAACCTTTCTTTGTTGTATTTACTATATCTTGTGTGCCCTCTCTGTGGAAGTTTTCAGCCGGAATACGGGCTGCTGAGTCAAAAAGCACCCTGTGCAAAAGTGAACAGAAGATAAAATGACCTCTTTATTTTTCCATTTGATTCATGTAAAGTTAATGATTAGAGAGTAGAGACACTAACTTCTTGATTTTACCACCATCTTGATCCATTGCTTTACCTCTACCAGAAACCCTGCCAGATGCTGATTGCTTCTTATGGCTCATGGATAGAGGAGTCTTGATTGCATTTGGGGAGAGAAGTCCATCCATTCTTTGTATGCTCTTCGTTTTCCCCTTGGATTCCAACCAAGCTCGCAATTTGGCTTCCATGTCAACCTTATCTTTAGGAGTCTCTTGCTTGCTTGCTGAACTCATGTGGTTCGTAACATGGCGCGAACGAGCAGCCAAGCTTACTGTGTGGACTGCCTCCTGGTATTCCACGGGATTCTGAAACAAAAAAAATAATCAGTATATACCCTACGAGATGAGATGTCTAGAGTAATAATAACTGAGTAAGTTTAAGGAAAGCTCACAAGGCATGCTATCATGACAGCATGGCTATTGCCTCCAAGAGAATCTTGCAGTATGCGGGTCAATTTACTCTCTCTGTATGGTATCCGTGGCTCTTTCTTGTTGAGAGCCGATATGACATTAGACAACGCAAACAGCGACTGGTTGATCTTGGCGCTCTCTTGTAGCCGGATCCCCTCATTGCAAGTTCTCCGGTTGTCCTCATTACCTGGCAATGTAAAACCAACACAACATGGTTTTAAACAGGAAGGGTGAATCTTAAATATATGCAACCTGCTCCAGCTTTCCAAGAGTCCTACCAGCCAAGTCGATGAGGTTAAGCTTCCCTTTAACAACATCAGTAGTAATCCTGATCGATAGCACAGCATGGCTCCTACTTGAAACATCGTTCAGGCCTGTGTGGGCAACTTTTCTCCTCTGCACTCCTATAGAGTATATCTCGTGGAATTCCTCCAGAGATCGCACAGGCACCTTCAACCATGAAAATACGAAAGTAAGCACAGTGCACAATCGATGATGCCTAATGCATTGCAGCAAACACAAGTAAGAATAATCAAGCCCCAGCGCATTACCCAGGCCAAGCCCTTTAGCTGTAAGTTGCCATCTTTGTCATCCAGCACCATGATCTCTCTTGCCTTGGGCTCTAGCAAGTCATAGCACCGCTCCATGTATACCTCATAGTATGAGATCTCAACAGAGCACCATGTGCCAGTACATAGCGCCAACACGGTCGAAACCGCCAAGGGGATGAGCCCCGGCAAATCCTCAGTGCCCTGCACAGCAACAAGGATCCCCCAATATCAGCAATAGGTTCAACTCCCCTGCAGCGGCATTTCATCAAACACATTGCCGTCGTGAAAAAAAAAATAATGGGCACCTGCATCGTGTAGGTCTTGCCGCTGCCGGTAGCGCCATAGGCGAAGACCGTCGCGTTGGTCCCCTCGAAGATTCCCGGGATCACGGCGCTGACCTCCTGATCGAATATCTCGCAGACACGGCTCTCTTGGCCGAAGAAAGCGTCCAGCTTATAGCACTCGTTCCGGCTGCGGAAGTGGTGTTACCAAATGAATATAATCATGAGAAAAAAGCTAAGACGACGCCCTCGCAGATCATCCGAAACATTACTAGTCGACGAACAATTCGCAACCAAATTTCCAGGCGAACTAGAACAGTAGTAGTAGCGATCTTCCTCAACTAAGGATGCAACAAATCTTATGAAAGCGCTCAACAAGGGAGCTGCGAAATTGGGGGGAATTCAACGTGATCCGTCGTACAGAGAAGAGAGGGGGTGAGGCGAACCTGGTGTACTGGTCCTTGAGCTGGACGGTGACCTCGCCGCCGGGGTGGCTCCCGAGAAGCCCGACGCACGGCGCCTCCGCGGAGTTCGCCTCGGACGGGAGGTGCGGGCGCACCCGCAGCACGACGCGCACCGGCTGCGACTGCGTGGCGGCGGCGGTCGCCATCGAAGGAGAGAGGACGAGGCCGGTGGCGGCGGCGGATGGAGGAGGAGGAGGAGGAGACGACGAGGGAGACTGGGAGCGAGAGAGGGTGAGACGAGGCGGCGGGGGTAGAGGTGGAGGTGGAGGAGGAGGAGGACGGCGACCGTTAAGGAAGGAGGCGGCTAGGCGGTTCGAATTTTGAACACGGGAGGCGGTGGGTGCGGTGGCCGACGTGGAGCCCGGTGGAGGTGGGGTACGCTGCTGCTGCCGCTGCCGCGTGATCTGGGCTGGATTGGATAGTTTTCTGGCCTGTCCTACTGATGACCGGGCCAGGAAGGAATTCGGATTAGCTGGGCCGTCATCACCATCGGCTCAGCCCGTCTAAGTTGACTTGGCCATCCCTCAAACTTTACGTCAAGTCTGTGTGACATCCCTAATCCCCAATACCGAAAATCTTTATCCCAAGTGTTCAAAACCGTGTAAAATAGGTCCCATAACAATATACATGAGTGGTTTTATTGACGTGGCATCCTAGTCAGCAAGGAGATAATAAAAATAATGTGGGATCCACACATAAGTCACACGAAAAATATATTACATAAACTTCTCTTTCCACTCCCCCCCCCCCAAACGCACGGTGGCGACACGGGCACCTTTCTTTGCCGTCGCCACCGCAGCAATCGCCGTCGTTTGGCACTTTAGCTCCTTCACGTGCTCGATCACCTGCGCCAAGAAACGACGATGGTGGCAGGGCGCGGAAGCGCCCGTCGCGTCCGTTCAAGACAGACCTGCACAACAAGATCCGGACGGCGCAGGGCGTGTGTGATAGCTAGATGCGGCTATCCTTCGACGGCTTGACGTCGCCGTGACTTCTTCGCATTGCAGGCCTGCCACCACCCTTACCTTGGTCGAGCTCCCCCGTTTTCATCCCCTTCGCTCCGTCGCTGTCGTGTGGAGGGGATGCAGTCGTCACCCTTGCACGAAGCCTAGGAGACTCGTCGTTGTCCATCCAATCCCCTCCGCTTTGCCATCTCTGACGCGGTCGAGCTCCCCGTTTACATCCCCTTCGCTCCGTCACCACCGCTCGTCTCCATCCCCTCTGCTCCTTTGCCTACGCTGTGGTCAAGCTCCCCCGTTTCTATCTCCTCTGCTTCGTCGCCGTTGTGTGAAGGGGATGCGGTCGCCGGCGCGGCTCTTCCCCTCATCTCCTCTATCTCTTTCTCTCTTTCTTCCCCTCTCCTCTCTCTACTAGCGAGCTCATGCAACCAACTCATGCCCAAGGCTGCCTCCTCCTCCGTCTCTCGTAAGCCCGCCGCCGCCGCCTCTCCCAGGCTCGCCGGCCGTCTCTTCTATCTTCCATCTCTCGTCGGCGGATTAGGAATGTCATACAGGCTTGACGTAAAGTTAATAGACGGTAAGTGAATTTAATTTTATAGTTAAATGACCCATCACTGTATCGGCATCTTCAAAAGGCTGGATCGGGACATGCTGAGATTTATGAAGTCATCATAGGCGCATCGTTATCGACGGATACATCACCTAACATTGAAAGAATAATTAGCTATAAATTTGATCGTAAGTGTACGTGGATTTCTATATTTTACTTTAAGAAAAAATAAAAGAAAATTTTCATCCTGCTGCTGCTGGGTTGAGGACTTGAGGTCATGAGGTGAAGTATCTGTCATCAGTAGGTTGGTGAGTCTCCTGAAAATCCAACTAAAATCTTTTAAAACGAAAAGTGAAAGCAAAGGCTCGAGTCAAAAAGCTATCCATAAAGCCTGGGACAAGAGCAATAATAGAGCCATGTACTAATGCCCGTACCCATCCACTCTAATCCCTCTCAATCATAGATCCTCCCTTGATAGAAAGGCTCGTATAGCCGTAAGCTCTCTCTGCGATGCAAACATACACCCTCAACAGCGTAGATAATATTACTTAGGTCATATGTAGAGGGCTTTTAGCCGTAGTAACTTCTTCTATAATCTTTAGTTTCCTAAATAGTTTTTAGATTACGAGAATCTGTAACTATAAAGTTCATAAAAAATAAACTAGAAATAAAAAATAATAAGGTTATCAGAAATCGGGCTATCAACCAATTACTCTTAAGAATTTTAAACTTCTCAAACGCATCAAAGCTAACCACGAGCTCGTTGGCTAGCTCGTTGCTTGACCAAGAACAGCAAATCATCAGGGTGAAACTTTGGGCAAGAAAGGTCTCCTGCAATTTGCATCCAAGGGAGACATGGAGGGTGTGTTTGGATAATGGGAAATGAGGAGTGGGATTGGGATTGAGAAATGAATAAAGGGTTAGGATTAAACGGATGAGGGATAATGAATGGTTAGGATTTAAAGATGGGTGGGAAATCATTTCTCTAACACATTTGCCAAACACTGCCCAAGAGGCAGGAGCCCAGGACGCGTTGTATTGTACTCCCACCATCTATAAAAGTTACACCTATTACTTTTGTCATCAAGACTAGAGAGAAATTAAATCATGTTGTTGAATATTATAGAATCAGGGAGTGAATGCAAGTATGTATCCAATGAGTATTTAGATGACTCCTTGAATTCTAATCAAACATTTAATTTATCTTTTCATTTAAGTGTTAAATGTATAAATATTACAAATAGGAATAACTTATTTGAAAAAACTCAAATGTTAAATATACTTAACTTCTGTGAACGGTCTTGTGAACGGAGGGAGTATTGGGCGAGAAAGGTCTCCTGCAATTTGCATCCAAGGGAGACACCGAGAGGCAGTAGCCCAGGAAACGTTGTATTGTATACCACCATACCATGCACCGCCACCCACTTGAGGTTGAGGGCGCATAAATACGTCTCCATCCGTTCTCCTCTCCTCCGTCGGCTTGGGCCCCGGCGGCATAATTGGCGGAGCCATCCAGCGGCGGCACGATTCAGAGGCGGTGGCTCGCTGGCAGGCAGGCAGCAATGCAGGTGTCCCCTTATTTTTTTGGGCATAGCTCAGGCAAAAAATAAAGCTCTTTTAGCTGGACATGCCGATTCATGGCAGTGCCACCATACCGACGATCCTGCGCCGTGTTTAGTTCCAAAGTTATTCTTTAAACTTTTAACTTTTCCATCACACCAAAACTTTTCTAAACACAACCTTTCAACTTTTCTATTATATCGTTACAATTTCAATCAAACTTTTAATTTTAGTGTGAACTAAACACAGCCTTGATGGGTGATTGGTTCGACCAAATTGGCCCATGCAGTAATACAAGCTTTGAAGCTTACAGACAGAACGGTAAGAGAATGAGAGATAGATAACAGTACATGCATTGCAAATAAATTCAGCAACCAGTAACAGCGGCACTAAACTACTGAAAGAGATATCCTGAGTTCTTTTGGGGTACAGAACTGGAGTACAGATCTTATACAACGAATGCAGGTCACAGCAAGGGGTGCACTGTCCCTCTGTGGCACTGTTGTGTGGGAGAAGATGAGAGATGAGATGGCTTTTGTTGTTAATGATTCAGGCCATAGTGGGTGGTGGCCCATGCTTGCTCAACCACTTGTATCATGACACTGAATCGAGTGTCCCTGCCCAACAAACTTTTTTAACTCGCTCAATGATCATGACCAACACCCATCTGTCCTTTTGGGTTTGGCTTTGCTGTTATTTCCCTGGTGAAAATGCACAATATGGAGCATGAACTCCTGGTCAAATTTATCCTTGCATTGGGCCATTGGCATCTCCATATATAAGAATAACGGACCAGGCAGAGCCAGACAGGTAAAAGAAGAGCATTTGTCCTTCTTTTCTATGAACTCCATGATGGCTACGTCCCACATAAACAGAGATTAGCACCCACTTTCTCTCAGATTCTGAACTTTGCTGTTCACTTTCCTCTCTGGATAGCTCCCATCTCTAATGACAGCATCTCAGAAAGAAACACCAGAGGCAGTTTGCGATTCAGAGGTTTTTCTTGTGATTGTATCAAGCAATGAGTATTCAAGGAACACAACTACACAAGGACAATTCAGAGGTTTTTCTTGTGATTGTGTCAAGTAATGAGTATTCATGGAGTAAGAACTAAGGATGATGAGAGAACGGGAAACCTGTACAATACCAATAATAAAGAGTACTGGTAACAAGTTGGGGCTTCTGTACAATGCGACAAGAATGTCATGGTACAGATGGTTCTCATTGATGGATTATTTTGTTTCATGGATAAACAGTATACCAAGGTGTATGATCCTTGGGGAAGAAATGCCTTTGAAACAAAAAACCTATCATCTTCGAAAGATTTTGCTCAGTAGATCTATACAACTCCCTTCCAGCAGAGGAAGTGGAACATCGACACTGGAATAAACCAATTGAACCGCAAAAAAAGAATTAGACTCCTCTGCAGATTGCAAGCCAGGAGGAGTACCTGCACCGATGAAACGATCAAGAGCACTTGGGAGAGTTGGATCAGTGAGCCACTGCGACCCGGGACTGCAAGGTGATGCTCTTCTGGCTGGGCATGGCGAGCATGGCGGTGTGATCCAAGAAATCCTTGAGCTCCACCACGGACTCGAGTATCCTCCTGAGGTCGTCGGCGCACATGAAGCCGGCGGCGCCGAGGCGGCGGACGGCGTAGACGTAGATGGTGAGGCAGCCCTTCCTGAACTTGAACCGGGCCATCTCGCTGCCGGTGAGCCCCCGGATGAGCTTCTTGTTGACGTCGCCGAGCGGGATCATGGACGGCCAGAGCTGGTCGACGGCGGCCTTCATGCCCTCGGACTCGAACACGAAGAGCACCACCTTGGACTTCTTGGTGCCCAGCCCCAGCGTGAGCGTGTGCCACGCCTGGTGCGCCAGGATGGTGAAGCTGGTGGGCATGTACGCCGTGGTGGACGGGAACGGCAGGCTCTGGCACTCGCTCAGGTACGCCGGCGGGATGTCCAGCAGCCGGAGCAGCTCCAGCGGCGACGCCCGCCGCACCGTGAACGACTTCACGATGAACTGGCCGCCGAACCGCACCCCCTTCACCTCCCCGCTCGGCTTGAAGTGCGCCTCCCCACCGTGGGTGCCCGCCTTCTCCTTCTCCTTCTCCTTGTGCTTCTTCTTCTTCTCCTTCTCCTTCTTCCTCTCCTCTGCCATGGCTACCCGCTTTCTGCTTCTGCTGCCGCTGCTGCTGGAGTGAAGCTACTGAGTTGAGCGGTGCTGTGCGGCGCCCCAGGGAAAAGTCTGCACTCTGTAATGACGAGCCCCACCACCACCACCACCACCTCCTCACCTCTTCTCCTCGCTGAGCTTGCTGTTTCAGTGTTGCTGCTGGTACGACCATACATGGACACCACCAAAGATGCAGTCACTCAGAGTGAAGGGGCACTTGGGCATTAAGGAAGAGGTTAGCTTAGCTTTAGCATTTATGTAATCTGTTGGATTGATCAGACAACGCGGAGGCAACTGTTGGCAGTGTCCTATAAAAACTAGGACCAATTACGTCTGTGTGTGTGTTTTGTTTATAACTGTGTACACGGACGCACGCATGCGCGCCTACTTTGGTCCTTGCGTGTAGTTTTCTTGTTCCTTTTTCGTGCAGCCTGCACTACACCCAGCAGCCCAGCTAAGATGATGCTTCCTTGTGCCCGCTTAAAAGGTGGCACATGATTATAGATAGGCTCAGCGAAAGAACACTGAAATACTAGTAGTGGTTTGCAGTCCTGTTTGGTAGTGCGCATTTCTGAATCTGAATCTAATTCAGCTCTTTAGTGTGCTACTTTCCTAAGTGGACTAATTTCTTGGAGAAACCGAAAAGTAGGAAGGAAGAAGAAGGTTGATCCATGGCTGGCAGATAGTGAGAGGAATAGAAACGAGAGCTACGCAAAACAGAGTTATGAACATACCTGTTAGCAGCTGATCCTGAGAGGAAACAGCAAGGTCTTGCGATTCCCCTTTGTGAAGCAGCAGCAGCAGCAATCTTAATCAGATCAGGTGAGCCGTTACCTTGAAGCTTCGTTTGCGTTGCAAAGTCACAGCAGCTATGAAAGTGAATCCCCTGAAGCCAGGCCTGTGACCTGTCGGAGACTGATCAAGTGAGGATCTTGACAAACAAAGAGCTGTCGGCCGCAGATGCCCCTTCCTACACTTCGAAGTTAAAGGTATGGCATGCTTAGAGGAGAATTCATTGAAGAAGTATTACAACATCGACAGCACAACAACTAATAGCTAGCTTGGCACAACTACAGCTCACTGAAACTCGATATTGTACTGGAAGCCCAAATATATCAAACCTTTTTTTTTTGGTATGTATTCAGGACTGTTCTTAATATATATTAAGACTCCTTTTCATCAGTGGATTAGCATGTAGTTTTCGTCATTTCGGTGCAGAGCTTATGACCATTCATTTCCCATATTTAGTACTTATTGCTAATTCCAACTTGAAGCTCATTTGCTTTGGAAGCTACCTTTTTTTTTTCTCTCTGTAGGTTTGGATCACACTGAAGTGCTAAAGCAAGGCGACCTAACTACCATCTGGTGGTTCATATTAAGCTAAGTACAGCTAAAATGTACAGGTAGAAAGTGATTTTTCCAGTGCAACAGCCATTTGCAACATAAAGATGCCATAGTCTATATCAATCCTCAGTTCTGTGTAGCTTAGTGACATCAATATACCTGAAAGATCATGATTTGAAAGGCCAACAACTATGCTCAGATCAACAGTGGGTACCATAGAGGACGTCACAATCAGAGCTACCAAGTCTATATAATGGAAGAAAACTGTCAGAATTAAGACCGACAAAAGCTAAGGATTCAAGATTATAGAAATCATGTAAGCTCCCTGGGGAGATGCAGCATAAAAGGGGAGGAAACCAATACTGGAGTACGGAAATTTTAGATGGAAAACAAACTTTAAAACCACCAATTCTGTCCCGTGTGAACAAAATGTGTGCTAGAACTGCGAAATGAAACAGAACACTCTGAATAGGTAGAAGATTTTATGATATTTGAAAGCATCTGATTAAACACATTATGTAACTGCATACAAGTATACGACTAAAGCAAAAATGAAGTGCAAGAGGAAAGTCACACTCAACACAAATCTAGTACTGATTATATTCTCTTAGGAAGCTATAGAAGAATAAAAACAACAAGATGGTCCATTTCTAGAAAGATAAATTCTCTCCAAAATTTCAAGCCATTGATGGATAACCATGTTACATGTTTCACATGAGGCTCTCCATGCTTATTATTTGTGCAGCCGCATTTCAACTTTCAATTCTCAACCTTTCCTAAGGAAAATCAGAAAAACACAACGGACACCTGCTGAGATTGCTTGCAGAAGCAACCAAGTGAAAAATAAAACTAATTTTGGGTTAGAAGGTTAAGAGCTGTCTCTTTCTATACAAAAGCATGTTATTTGGCTGAATTCAGGGGGGACAAGCTGCCCCATGTTAGCATTTAGGGACAAACCCAACCCTACAAGCGTCCAACCTACTGGATGCCATTTTGGAGCAGAATTCCACTAAAAATATGGACACAAAAATCGTTGCCCAGAACTGGTATAGAAATCGTTCGGGCCGATGAAAAAGACTATCAGTATGCCGTATGCACAACTAGCACATCAAACATATGGAATTGCAAATTGCACTTGCAGAAATTAACGATGGAAAGCAAGCAGGCAGAAGTCAACCCACGTACACGAACGAGATCAGCCAAAAACAAGCAAGAGATGATAATTATCAACTGTCAAATACTAGATCTAGACGTGTAAGGTGCAGGTGTAAGTATGCAAACCTCCAATCTGCAGATCAAACGGAGCAACAGAGCTCGAGACCTCTCAGGGGAATTCAGTCGAACACATGGGCTGCAGCATAAAACGAAGCCCGGTTCCAACGAGAGGAGTGATCTCACCTTGACGCCGCCATGGCCGTCTGACACGCCGCCCTGCGTGAATCAAGCGGTGGCGCCGCCATTTATTGCCACCGAGCTAAGTTAAACCGAGGAGGCCGACGGGGCGCCGAGCCGAGCCGAGCCGAGCCACGGGCGCAAAAGAGGAGAAATGGCGGCCACGACGCGCTCCAGTGGTCGCCTGGTGACCATGTCACCGCGGACACGGCCAGGCCACCCGACGCCACGCGGCGCCTCGGACACGGCGGGCGCCAGGTGAGCGGCCGGCTGCACGGGGAGACCGGCGGCGCGCTCGCCGTGCCACACGGGCACATGCACATCGCCGTCGCCGGTGCCGTGGCGCCGCCGTGGCACGGCGGCAGCCGGCGGCGCACGTAGGGCGGTATGGGCGCGTCCTTCTCGGGCCGAGAGGTTTGGCCCAGCTTATGTGGGCCCATACGGCCCAGGAGATCAGCAGTTTCAGCGCGCCAAGGGCTTTTGCTATTTTTGCAGCCCCACCAGAAAACGAGATTTGCGGTTTGTGAGAGATTCTGCAGCCAGCATGCAACAGTGATCAAATGTTGTTCTGATCAGTGATCGTAATTCCGTACACCGGAGAAACAACTATGTTCTAGTTAACCATCTAGCCACTTGTGAGCTTTTCAATGCCAATTGATTTTGACTTTATGTAGTTCGAGAGACAATTCAATTCTGCTTAGGCTCACAGATTCAAGAGTACATATATCGTGTTTGATGTAGTCTGAGAGACAATTCAATTCTGTTTATAGCCGGCTCACAGATTCAAGAGTACATGTGTCGTGTTTGAGATACATATTTTACCTTGATTTTTATTAGCACGTTTCGTATGAAAACTTTTCATGTATAATTTACTTTAAAACATAAAACACATCTTTTTTTCAAGTTTGAATTAATTATGTATTAATGGGTTACTCCTGCTCGGACTTAATCTTTTATTTTCAGCAAATTAAAATATGATCCCTCTACAACCAAAATTTAAAATTTGGAATTTAATTTTGGAAACATATGCTCCTGACTTCCTCGAACAACCTGAAAAATACAGGTCCCCATCGTTTGGCTTATTTACTAATAAGCCAAAACGGCTTATTAGGAAATAAAAATGAATTTATGGGTAAAACTTTTATAAATGTGTTCTTTGTGACTTAAAAGCCAATGTTAAAAAAGAAACTACGTTGAAAATATGTCAAAATCAATATTAAAATTAAGCTTGAAAATTTAAAATTTAGCTTTTTCTTTGGCTTATTAGGCCATCCGATGGGACTGACAGATCCTTGGAGGACAAATTGTGACGGCGTCAACACTGTTTCCCGTTGAATAGCTTAACTCAGTCAACACCATGTAAATAATAGAGATAAATCTACGCCAATTGCGTTTTAGCAATTTCACAAAGCTTCTGGAAGGGATCGATGACGTCAGTGCCCCTAACAAACAAAAACAAAATACATTAATGACCTATATACTCCCTCCGTAAAAAAAAGATAAAGTCTGGTTTTCCGTGTTCAACTTTAACTATCCGTCTTATATGAAATTTTTTTATAATTCGTATTTTCATTGTTGTTAGATGATAAAACATGATTAATATTTTATACGTGACTTGTCTTTTTAATTTTTTTCATATTTTTTTTAAATAAGACGGACGGTTAATCGTTGGGCATGGAAATCAGGATTTATCTCTTTCTTTCTTTTTTTTTTTTTTTCGGAGGGAGTATGTCAGTATGTCACCATGCATCTCTTCTTTTCCTATCGAGTCAACGACGCGCGTCACGCCACACGTAGACGTTGTCCATGAACGATCGCGAGGCCCACCGCCCGCGACCGCACGCGGCAGCGATCATCGAACGGCGCCGAGCGGCCCACGGAAGGATCGGACGGTCCATGCAACCCGGGCGAGGGGTTCAAACGGTCAAACTGGAACCACCAAAGCCTCGTGCTCGGACCCGCAACGGTAACTGCTGGTTTTAGCGGGGGCCGCATCGCATCGCACCGAACACGCGGGCTCGGGTCCGACGGCGCCGTCACCGCGCCGTGAATTCGCCGCCTGTCGCTTTCCTTTCCGTTTGTTCAGTTCCTTCCGTCCCCGGATCGCACGCTGGCTGGCCAGCGTCTTTCCATTCGCCCCCTTGTAGTTGTGGATAATTTCCGCTTGGTCCTTCAACCCCTCTGATCTGATGCTGTTATGACTTACTCCTTCTATGGAAAAAAAAAACTCATTACTATGAATTTGGACATAACACATGTCCAGATACATAGCCAGGATTTGGTTTTTTTAGACGGAGGGAGTATGTGTTATGCTAAAGATGAGAGTGTTGGTCTTCTGTGTTTATTAGGCCATGTTTCTTTCAGCTTGGGATTATTATAATCCAGATTATTGGGAGTAAGCTGAAAGAAACAGACAACTTATTGAAGTAGCTTATTATAATTTGGAGCCCGGCTTATTATAATATGATAATCTCATTTAGGTGAGCTTTTTCCAGATTATTGGGTGAAAAATTACCCACCATGCCACCCTACTCCCTCTTTAGACTTGCAAACCCAATAATCTAGGCTCTAATAATCTAGGAAAGAAACAACTAACCGCTTATTCTACTATAGATTATAACAATCTAGCTTATAGTAATTTGACTCAATAATCTAGATTATAATAATCCCAAGCTGAAAGAAACAGGGCCTTAGTATCCTTGACAGGGTTTAACTTTTCGATTTCGAAGTAAAAACCGCACCTCATCGATTTACCGAAATCCGACCCAAAAACTAGTAAAAACCAATGACTTTTGATCAATGCCGTACAGAAACTGGCTAATACCGACCAGTTTTCATAAACCGAGACCTAGTAGTTTCATGAAATCCGTTCGATTTTCGCGAAATTCCATCGGTTTTGTGAACCCTCCTCGGTGCAGCGGGTGCAATTCTTCAGATGCATTTTGGAAGGAAGAAGCACGAAAAAGGGGATGGTTTATTTATGTATGATTAATTAAATATTAGTTAAAAATTGAAAATTGAATTAATATGATTTTTAAAGCAACTTTCCTACTTTTTTTTTTGCAAAAAATACACCGTTCAGTGGTTTGTGAAGTGTGCGCGTGAAAAATATGGAAGATAAGTTGGGAAAGGAGGGGGGGGAAAGAACACAACCTTCCAATGTCGGTTGACCAAAAGAAACATTGGGATTGATACAATTGGACAAGGAATATAACTGTACTAGTAAGCTTTGACACCTAGAGCGTAGTTCTTCTTAAAAAGCACTAGTGAAAAACCATCTTTGCCCGGTCGACCAAAAACCACAATAGTCTCGGATGCAGTAAAAACTGGGACTAAAGATGGTTTTTAGTCCCGGTTTATAAGTAGAACGGGACTACGTGATCTTTAGTCCCGGTTGGTGTCATCTTTAGTCCCGGTTCACATGCTGTCAGGTGTTGTCAGGCCCCTCCAGGATCTTTAGTCGCGGTTGGTGTTACGAACCGGGATTAAAGATCAAAACGCAGTATATTATCTCTATTACTTATCATCTTTTCTCGTCCACTCTTTTCTCATCCACACCCACTCCTCTCTCCCTCCATCTCTAGTCTTATCTCTTCCCTTCCTCCTTATCTCCTTTTCTTCTTATCCCTTCCCAACTCGATCCAGTGTGCGCAGCAGGAGGGGGTGGGCGGCCAGGCCGGCGGAGGGCCGCGTGGCGGCGGCCGGCGCAGCGGCGTCGCAGTGGCGGCGGTGGCGGCGCGGAGGGCCGCGCGGCGGCCGGGGAGGAGGGGAGGCGGCAGCCGGCTCAGCCGACCGGCGGCTTTGCTTCGTTTTTTTTTCTTTTTTTTTCAAAGAATTTGTGATCCATGTGTAGAATGATATGAAGAATCTGTGGTTCATTGTATAGATTGAGATGTATAATTTTTTTTGGAATCTTATTGTATGGATCTGAGATGTACATGATTTGTGTATAATTTGTATATTTGGGATGTTTATTTGATTTGGGATGTATAATCTGTAGTGTATATGATTGATTTGTGTATTTGGGATGGTACGCATCCCACCTAATTTGGGAGAAAATAAATTAGAGATTAAATAGTAAGTAAATGAAAAAAAACTATTGCCCACTCCCATCTTTAGTCCACCAACCGGGACTAAAGATCGATCTTTAGTCCCGGGTATTTGAACCAAGACTAAAGATAGGGATCTTTAGTCCCAGATTCGTAGTCCCGGTTTTCAAACCGGGATTATAGAGGGGTTATGAACCGGGCCTAAAAACGATTTCTCCACTAGTGACGTCAGACGATTGCATGAAGCAAACGTAATGCAACTCATATTCCAGGGTATAAAATTACTTTTCCCGTGAGAAAAATAAGCATCTTAGCTTATGTTATACTATTTTTTAAGAAAACAATTAATTGATATGCAATGCTGATAACATAATGCACTATTGTAGTTTACACGCCTAACTAGTCTAATCTAACTTAATAAATAATAAAAGATATACATACTATATTTTATATAACCTTTTACAAAATCTGATGTATAATATTGTGATTGAATCTCAACTATTTATATTTCAAATGGAATCAATGATCAATCAATCGCTTGAGATTTTTGTTAGTACGGAGTTGTAAGAAAACTACAGCTTTATTACTCAAACTTAATATTAACTACTCTCTCCATTTCATATTATAAATCATTTTATCTTTTTTTATTCAAATTTCTTCAAGTTTGATCAATTTTATACTCCCTCCGTTTCGTATTGTAAAACTTTCTAGTATTGCCCACATTCATATATATGTTAATGAATCTAGACATTATATGAACTCGATTCATTAGCATCTATATGAATATAGACAATGTTAGAAAACCTTACATTGTGAAACGGAGGAAATAGAAAATTCTAGCAACATATACAACACTAAATCAATATCATTAAATCTAACATTAAATATATTTTAATAAAATATTTATTTTGTGTTGAAAATGTTTTTATATTTTAATATAAACTCGATCAAACATAAAAATATTTGAATAGAAAAAAATCAAAGTGACTTGTAATATGAAACGGATGAAGTAATACTAATATTATATACTACTATACCCCTCCCAAAAAATAACGATATAGGATTGAATGATACATATCATAATACAACGAATTTAGACAGATCTTTATCCAGATTTGTTAGGAGTATATTTTAGGAAAGGAGAAAATAAAGATACTATGGCTACCAACAACTCACCTAGCAAGAAATTACCAGTAACCTGGAGCCCCTATCTGAAAAAGATCCAGGACCGGGAGTAAATTATTCCCCCCGTCTGCTAACTCCTCGCCTCCTTTTCCCTTCCTTTCCTTCAACGGGCGAGGTTTTTTGAAACCCCTCCTCCTCCTCCTTCCCCAACACACAATCGAAGCCGCCGCGCCGCAACACCACCCCCAGACGGGCAGCCGCGCGCGCAGGAGGAGGAGAGGAGCTCGCTCCCTTTGCCCTGCCTAGGGTTTCGTGCCACCCCATCTCTCCTTCCCCCACCCCACCCGCTTCCTCGATTCGATCCTCCGCTTCCCCCCGATCTGGGCGGCGGCGGCTTTGGTAAGCGGCGGCGCTTGATTCCCTTCTTCCGCGAGGTGCGTTTAAGTTGGGGGAGTGTTTCTGATGGGAATTTTGTTTTGTTTTTTTTTTGATTGTTTGTTTAGGCGGCGGAGGTGTTGATGAGGCGGTAGATCAATGGGCGCGATGCCGGCGGTGAAGGTGGAGGAGGAGGAGGAGGAGCGGAATCCGGTGGCGTCGAGCCCTTCGGTCTCGGAGGGGAGCGCGCACGCCGCCGCGCTGGCGTCGCCCACCGCGGCGGATTCCATCTTCGGTCGCAGGTAGTGATCCCCCCGCCCCCGCGCCGCGGCTCAACTTACCGTCGCTGTGCTGTTGGCTGTTGGGTAGTAGTGGGTGGTTGTTTGTTTGCCTCGTTCGGATGCCCCCGCTTGCTTGGGGCTATGGTCCGGAACTCCGGACGGGGGGGTCGCTGCTTGTGCTTTGCCTGGGAAAGATGGGGTTTTTATGCTTCGTCTCGTTCGCAGATGCGGCTGGGCTGGGCTGGGTTGGATTGCGATCGCAGCAGCTTTGGCGATCTTGAGAAATCTGTGGCCTTTGGATTTATTTCTGATTGGTGACGTGGTCCTTGTGCAGCATGACGGCTGTTTGGACAGGACTGTTGGTTGACCTTTTAACATGTATCTTGCCGTTGCTGCTGGTCTTTACAGCTGTAGTCTTCGTTGAATGAATTTTTGTTCCATCACACTTTTAACACTTCAATGGTGGGAAGGGTTTTGCTTGCTTTGTTCTTTTAGTACTCTAGTTCACTGGGTAATTGTATCTAGTTCTGTTGTTTTGGAAATTGGCATGCTTTCTTGGTTGAGGCACGGTGAAGTCGCTTTGCAGTGATTGCTAAAATGAGTAAAGTTTATCGTCTGTTTGTTTTCAGGTGTGTGTTTTGATCATTTAAACCGCAAGTATCCACTATACTGTTTAGCATATCTGCGGTGTGTTATTAGTTAGTGCATCATATTTCAGGCACCCTGTTTATCTAAAATGCCATTTTTTATTTCGACATTTGCTTTTGGATTGGACATATATTCAGTATGTGGATAGTTTTTTTTTTTAAAAAAGAAGCTGATGCTTCTGAATGCAGAAATCAGTTTTTTATAAGTTGTTGTGTTATTTATAATGTTTCAGGAAATCTCCACTAATGCCATGAAACTATGCCATTTTTAGATAAATAGTTATACCGATTTTATAGTTGAGTCATGTCTTTTGGAGCCTGTAATAGCTGATTTGCAGTTTCTGAATGATGCGTAATGCTATATTATTGGATTTTTCATGTACTGGAATATGAGTTGACCCATCAAGATGACTATGTAGGAGACAAAGGTTCATCCATGAGATATTCCATTTGAGTTATTTTATGAATTTTTATAAGGATGCTACTTGCTGCAAAAAAAAAAAAGACGCCGATGCAACAGGATAGGAAAGTTCGACATGTTCCAAGCATTCAAATACTTCCTTGCAGTTTCTGGGAGCTTCAAAAACTAAAACACCATGTTTAGATAGTTTTAAAAAATGAAACGCCAAGTTTCAAACCCAAGTTTAATAACATGTTGACAGGTTTGACAACCTTCGTAAGAAATTCCAGCAAGTAAGCAAGTCCCAGAGTGTTTCCATAAGTCTAATAAGTGCTTAATTGAGTTTCAAAAGTGTTTCAGCAAGTCTCATGTTTCCAGAGATTTTTCAAAGTTTTGCAGATTCCAACTAAAAATTGCCAGTGCAAATTGCTAATGAAAGAAATGCAAAACCAGCCATGTTTCAAGCATGTAGACCATGAAGCTGAATTGGGGCTTGCTCGAAACTATTGGCAAACTGCCATGCCCAAGGCAATTGGCAGCATGATCTACGTGTCTGTGCTTATCTTTGACCAGGGCATCACATTTTGCTTCTCAAGCCTCCAACGCACATGGAGTGCCCTTGTGGATTGCCTGTTCCCTTACACAGCGACCTATCCACTGCTTAGCTTCCGCTCACTGCTCCATCCACTTCCTTTCTCTCCAGCTTGCTGTTCTGCTTAAAAAACCAGAGTGAGTGAGCGAGCGAGCGATGTGGTGGGGGAAGAAATTAGTGTGATGAAGGGCTTTAGACGGCAATCATATCCCGTGGAAAAGTATCCCATACGAGTGTTGGATCATGTAGTAAGTAGTAACACGGTCTAATAGGGGCTTTACAGTCTGATGGTAGTAAGTAGTAACAGAGCTGTGTTATTTTTTATGGCTATGCTTATTTCCTTTGACTGTCTATTTTTTACTCACAAAACATTTTTTAAGCTGGCAGTACTTATCATATTAATTCCCTAAAAGGGAGTGACTGTATCAGTAAGCTGTAAGAAGCTACAGGTTTAATAACAGTAAAGTACAGTAATCATTCTTGAGGCTTAAGAAAAAAAAATGAAACTGGTACTGGGGAAAAAGGGGAAACTAGCCAGCTAGTTTGTTTTTCCCAAGTAACTTGCCAGCTAGTGGTTTCTGGGGGGATGAGCATTGGGCAGTAACCAGAAGCACTTGGTCTTTTCCAGATGGATTGGTAATTTTTTTTTACTTCTTTTAATTAATTGGATTTCTAACATGTATGATTACACATATCCTGCCTAAAATGGGATCAGGAAAATCAGCTAGATCTTTTGTTTCTTGATGTTAATCGCCTTTTCTGAAACGGGCGGCATTTCCACATCCTTGCCTGAGGGCACATGAGAAATCTGGATTGCTAGAATTTACTGATTTTGTCATCTTCCTCTAACCTGGCTTGTGTCTTTCAATCGGACAGCCTGTATTTTATGTACTGTACTGGATCCTAGTCAAGTTTTCCATAATTACATGAGCTATTGATAGTTTTTTTTATCTTATATTTGTGGTGCTGATGGAATCTTACATATTAGGCGAAAAAGTGGCCCGGTAAGGAGAGCTAAGGGTGGCTGGACACCAGAAGAGGTTAGCTATTTTCTACTATATTTCCTACCTGTTCACTGTTCCCTCTATCTGCAGTGTTATCTTGCACTCCGTTTACCTTTTGCATATGAAACTTACCATTACCTTTCTATATTGTTATGTGTGGATCTTTTCCTTTGGGTTGGACGGCATCCATTTCAAAATGAATGTTTGTTTACCTAGTTCTTGTCACTTGGGTGCAGGATGAAAAATTGCGGAAGGCAGTTGATATTTATAATGGCAAAAACTGGAAGAAGATAGGTTTGCTTCTCTTTTCTTGTCTGCATCCTGCGCATAATATTCAATTAACAGTTTCAAAGAGGGAAAACAAATACATAAAATATATGAGCCACCTGTTTTTTTGTCCAATTTGCCTCCAGCATCAAATTTTCATTTATTTTGCACCCATAAGTTAGAGTTATCGTACAAATACCCTCCAATGACACACACAAATACTATTTCAATGGTTTTTACAATTCTTTGTGCCTGGAGCTAGACCAGTGCGGCAATGATATAGTCTAATAATGTTCAAAGCCCACCAGTGTGGTTCTCATCTTTTCCTTGCGTAAATTATTTGAATAACTTATAAGTGGTTTCTATACTTCTATCAGTTAATTGCATAATGTTAATTTTAGCAATTAAAAAAAAATTCAAAACATATTTGTCAAGTACCAGCACATCAAATTATTTGATCTATTTGAAAAAAAAAACATGTGAATTATGTTTATGGGGCGGGGTTATGGCATTTGCACTTTTAAGAAACTACTGGGCAGTAATTCATAACAATGAAATTTAGCAACTTAGTGTCAGTTTCATGTTCTTTTGTGAAAACTGTACAGTATTTGTTTATTTACTGTGTATGTGTGCAGCCGAATCTTTCTCTGATAGGACAGAAGTACAATGTCTGCATAGATGGCAGAAAGTTCTTGATCCTGAACTTATAAAAGGTCCATGGACCCAAGAGGTTTGTCAAATATCTTATTTATTTTTCCATAAATTCAAATCTGTATATTCTGCTTGTTCATTGAATTCTTTTGCAGGAAGATGATGTCATCATCAATATGGTAAAGAAGCATGGACCAAAAAAATGGTCTGTTATAGCAAGGTCACTAAATGGTCGAATTGGTAAACAATGCCGAGAGAGGTATTTGTTTTGAGAACATTACCATGCATGTTGTAAATTGCAATCAACTACTACAAGTGAAATGTCGCATTCACATTTTGTAGACTAGTTAGCAATTTTTGATTTTCCTTGATGAGGTAAATTGTGAAAAAAAACTAGTCAGATTCTTTGATCATACTTTTGGGGTTATTGAAACTGGATGACACCTATTGAGGTTATCATCTAATTTAGGCCCAGATATAATGGTACTTCTGAATCACCACTTTGGAGGCTGGTGGTTTTTATTTTGTAAGCAGGAACGCCCCAAGTTTTGGCGTCCTACCAAGAATTGTTTTTACACAAACTAATCCTTGACCACCACAATGCCTATACTGAGGCTAGACATGACCGACAATATACTTCCAGCTCCTAGTCACTATACAACTTCTGGTTCCACATTTGGTACAGCACTTCTGTACAACTTCATGCTTTCAGTTGGCAAATCTCTTGGCAATCTCACACAATACACCTGTTCTGCTTGATTGTGAATTTGCCCTTTGATGCCTTCTGTGTTTAATATATGTGAAACAGCACTATATGTTTAGTTTACCCTATGGGCTAGACGGTCTACATGAGGTAAGAAGTGAAGGGACACTAAGACCATACACCATCAACTGTTGGTGTCCTTGGAATTTGAACATTCTTGTGCCTTACTAAAATTTAAGCAGGATGACATTTTTTACATGAGTAATTTTGCCTAGCCTTAGTAATAACAGAGTTCTCTACATGTTAAATTTTAATCGACATATCCATGCTTCCTAAAATAGGACAGTTTAAATGGTCAGTTGGCCATCCAGCTAAATTTTCAATATTAGTTCAGAACTAATAACATATCGGGATTATAAAATTGTAGTAAGGTTTCTTACATATTTCTTGTTTATTTATAAATTTGCCATAATAAAGTACATACCGTATGAATCAGTGTTCACTTCTGATGTACCCATATAATTTAGGTGGCATAATCATTTGGACCCACAAATAAGGAAAGAAGCTTGGACTGTTGAAGAGGAGCGTGTGCTTGCCCGTGCTCATTGTATGTATGGGAATAAATGGGCAGAAATTGCTAAACTTCTTCCTGGAAGGTACTAATCCGCAGCATTATTATGTAAAGTGTTTTTGTTTACTCATGTAAATTAGACACAGAAATGCACTAACGGCACTGCTCGTGGCAACGTTTTATGGATTCTTTGTGCTTGCTCTTGTCTTAGCAGTTGTAACGTCTTGGCTTGTGTATTAATAAATTAAATTGTTGAATAAATGAGTTATTTGTGACATATATATAAATGTAATCTGGTGATGGGATTTTGTGACTTTTGCTGCTTTGCTGTTCCAAACAGATGATGTGCACTAGGGCTATTGCTGTTGAAATTGAAAGTACTTTGTTTTTTTACGTACATATTGTTTCCTGTAAATGTGCTTCTGCATTCTATGCTATTTTCATGTCTTAAGTTCATACAGCAATTGACCTTTCTTTACTAATCGAACAGTTAGGCTTCTAAATATTCAGCTTACACTGATGCTTGTTTGTTCTTATCTCCAGGACAGACAATTCTATAAAAAACCATTGGAACAGTTCATTAAGAAAAAAAATAGATGACTACAATACCAGAGATATTCTGCCAGTTCATCCACCAGTTGTTGGTGATGGTTTGAAACAGTTACCAAAGCGGCCACCTGCTGACAACCATTTTGACTTAAACAAAGAGCCAATTATCTGTTCAAGAGACCGCTTAGGAGTAGTTCATTCTGACCCTACCTCTCATCAACGGGCATCCAATTTGAAAGACTTTAAGGGCTGTGCAGATTACCTCTCACTTGGTCAGCCAGTAACTTCATGTGAGGCTTCTGCAGCTGATGATTCTGCTTTTGATCTAGCAACACAGGGAATGAGAATGGATTCTGTTCATGACAAGGGTACTGGGAACAATTTTGTTTGTGGGAAGGTTCAGGGAATCAATTTTCTTGGTGACAAGGGACTTAAAATTAATCAGATATCAGATAAAATGGGCTGTTCAAGACAAGCTAAGAGAGAAGGTGAAGCAGCCATTAATGGCGGCGGATCATCCTTGCAGAGTGAGGCTCACTCTGTTGGTTCTCTTTGTTATCAGATACCTAAGATGGAAGACATTGCTCCTGCCCAATCCCCAGTGTTTACAGCAAATTATGTACCGGAACACTCTAGGAACGTAATGCACTCACCCAATGGCTATACTACTCCACCCACTCATGGAAAAGGATCAGATCAGCTTAGTGTTGAATCCATATTGAGAAGTGCTGCTGAAAAATTCCATGGTACTCCCTCAATACTAAGAAGAAGAAAAAGAGATAAACCGACGCCTGCTGAAGATAATGATTTGAAGATTGGCAGATTAAGCAGTGATGACTTCCACACTCCCATAGGAAAGTGTACTACAGATAGCCCACAGTCATTCAAAACTGCAGCACTTTTGTCCTTGGGTCCTATGGATGAGCAAGGGAGTCTTGATGTTTCCCCTCCATATCGACTAAGGTCAAAAAGATTGGCTGTCCTGAAAACTGTTCAAAATCATCTGGATTTTTCATCTGATGAAATGAGCATTTGTGATACTACAATGAAATCTGCCTGCGGGAATTCTGATTGTGCTAATGCCAGTAGTGGTGTTTCAAGCATTCAAGGGAAGAAACTGGATGAGCATATGATTGGATTGGAAACTTTAACCATGAACTTTGCGCATACGACAAAGTTGGATGCTACCCAACCTAATTTGTAGCATTCAGGTATGAATCTGTGACACCATATTTTTAAATGAACGTTTCCATGCTGCATACAGAATGTGTAATCATCAAGTTTAGATAACAAGTGTACATCACCCACGGTTCTATTTTCATAGGGAATTCTTTTACTCATGTCTATGCTTTTTTATTTATTTGGAATTCTTTTAGATAAAGAAATATTTCCTCGGAAGAATTTGTGGCATTGGAGATGCATGTAATTTTACTTTTCCTACGTTGCAGAAACAGCTAGCGATGTGCTGAAGTGGGCGAGGAGACCTGATGCGTCTAAATTTAATGTTGTCACTCTTCCTAAAGGCAAATAGGAAACACATTTTCTTTTTTTTGCAGTTCGTTTGAATTACCAAGGTACAGGAGAGTCACCATTTACCAACCCTACCATCTCTCCTTGGTGGGCTGTACAAAGCCATCTCCATTTTCGACAGAAAATATGTTGCTACTGTAAGCTCACAGTTAGCAATTCAATTTTTAAAGGCTCACAACTCACATCTGTGTAGAAAGAACAATCAGTTATAGAAACTTATCAAAGTTTTTCCTTTTTTTGAACTGCAGAAACATTTAAAAAGTTTATCAAGATTCCACATACTTTTTTTTCCTTTATATCATCGTGGACTCTTATGAGCCTTGAAATGAGATGATTGGTCATGTTACATAGGAGTATGTGATTCATAGTCCCTCCATCCTTTAAAAAAAAACTAGATGGATATGACACATTCTAATACAATTCAATGAATCTGGACAGATGTATATCAAGATTCATAGTAATATGATATGTCACATCTAGTACTGGTTGATTATTTTATGGGACAGGGAATACGTTAGAGGTATACGCCTCCCTTAAAAAAATAAGGACTCAATCTAGATGTGGATGTGACATACTTTAGTATAACGAATTTGGACCTTTTGTTTAGATTCGTTGTATTGGGACGGGTCACATCTTCACTTAAATTAGGTTTTTTTTCTTGGGACGAGTGGCGACTGAATCCTTCATGCGTGTGGACGGAAAGGAGGAGCGGCGAGTGGCGACTGAATCCTCTATCTGTGTGGACAGGGAGGAGGTGTGGCGGATTGGGATGAGGCGAAGGGCGATGGACTGGGAGAAGACGAGTAGCTGGAAGGGTAGGTGAGGAAATTTTTTCGTTCTGCTCCCTGTAGAGATGGCAACGGTGAATTCACCGTCGGGGGTCATGCCCGCGTCCCCGTCACCGCGGTGAAAATATTTCACCGTCCCCGCCCCCGTCAACCACGATGGGGCTATAATTTCTCTAGCCCCGATCACCACGCGGTGAATTTTTCCCCATGGTGAACCCGTCCCCGGGTAAACAATATATTCACAGTCACAGATTGTAGTATGCTCAACTTGCATCGTCGCTGTTGTAGCTTTAGGGGGGAGGTGGCCGAAGGCCGAAGCCATGGTCGGCAGATGGCAGCGGCGACGGCAGTTCCCGGTGGCGCGGCGACGGCGACTCCCGGCGGCACGGCGACGACGGCTCCCGTTGAAGATGGCTACAGGCTGGTGGCGCATCGACGGAGCCTGCCGGCCGCTCCTGGTGAAGACAGCTTCAGGCGCCACGTGGCCCGGCGGCGCATCGACGAAGGCGGCCGGCGACGGCAGCTTCAGTCTCCCGGCGAGAAGGCAGTGAGTGGCGGTGCGCGTGGTAGCTGGCAAACGGCGCCGGAGGTGGCTGGCGAACGGCGGCGCGCGCGGCTCCAGGTGGACTGGCGACCGGCGGCGCGTGTGACTCGGTCGGGTGGCTGGTGTGGATCTGGATCTGGATGGGTGGAAAATTTGGAGTTTGACCTGTTGACTTAGGGTTAGATTATATATGTGTGTTTATATATGTATCTGTTAAATGGGCTTCAATATTATGGGCCAATACATCTAAAAAGTCTAGAATTCCTCCCTTGTACAGTATAGTCGGGTCACCGTGGGGGGCGGGGACGGTGAATGGTTCACTGTCCACGCCCCCGTCATCCCCGATGGTGAGAGGTTTTTAACCATTTTATTCCCCTTGGTGAGTAGATATTAACCATCCCCGTCACCTAATAGGTGAATTCACCGCGGGGAAACGGTGAACAGGCCCCCATTGCCATCTCTAGCTCCCCGTGTCCACGCGCCTGGGGTAACGCGCACTGTGGGCTGGGTTTCCTTCCATAGTAACTTCATCTAATTAAGCCACACAAAATATGGTACTTGCACTGTGGGGATGAGTGTCTTTGCGCCAACTTTTTGGGCTAGGACCCGGGCTGTGGTGCTTGCACTCACAATACAGTGAATCTTAAGAGATGTATATCAAGATTTGTAGTAATATGATATATCATATTTTTATATCTAAAGCTGGCGGGTCTTCCTGCCAGCTGATTGGTGGAGATGGCGGCGTGTATTTTTCTGACACGTGGCATGAACCAACGACGTATAGATGATTCTCTCCAGCGCGGCTGCTGTTCTTCTCGATCAATCGCGTAGTACGCGTTCATCTGGGCCCAAAGCACCTCATGCATAAGAAGCCCATTAGCTAGCCGCCCAACGCTATGGAAAATCAGGGAGAAAATCCCCTGTGTACTCTTGAAAGTTCACCTAATCCCTTCTGTACCTCTGAATTTTGCTCAATCCCTTACATATCCCTGAATTTTAGTTTGGATCCCTTCCATGCCCTTTCCGCTAGTTGACCATTAGTTGACCGTTAGTTGACCGTTAAATTCTTATAAAAAAGTCCAGTTTGCCCTTTGGTATAAAGAAGCATATAAATTAATAGAGTATATTGTTGAATCATAGAAATTTGTTATATGAGACTATTATGTTTATGAGATAGTTATGCACCATATTATTTGCGACAAATATACTTTTAGATATGATATAAAAAATAATACTTATTTATTAGTTATTAAAAGTTTTTTTAGCATATGTGTTCTGATAGTAATAAATAAATATGTTGTATTACTATGAAAACACATATGCTACATAAAAGAACTTTTAATAACTAATAAATAAGTATTAACTTTTTATATCATATGTAAAAGTAAATTTGTCACAAATAATATGGTGCATCACATACTCATAAATATAATAGTCTCATCTAATAAATTTTTACATTCCAACAATATACTTCATTAATTTATTATGTTTCTTCATAGCAAAGGGCAAAATGGATTTTTTCAAAAGAATTTAACAGTCAACTAACGGTCAACTAGCGGAAAGGGCATGGAAGGGATCCAAACTAAAATTCAGGGGTATGTAAGGGATTGAGTAAAATTCAGGGGTATAGAAGGGATTAGGTGAACTTTCATGGGTACATAGGGGATTTTCTCAAAATCAGGGGAAGGAGCAAATGCCTATGTCAGCCCACTTGCTCTACATGTACACGTTCAATAGTCATTAGTATTCTATAGTACATTTACAAAAAATTATTGAATGCATATACAACTACTCATATTCATACATATATCTATGAGTATTTTTGAAATACTGAACTGCATATCTTAAAATAAAAAAATATTTTATTTCTTTGAACTAATTCAATGGACACTATTAAAAAAAAATCTAATTTATGGCTCAGTTCACTTTACTCCATAGTGGCATTTCTCAATTTTATTACTCTTTATATAAGTTGTATTTTAAACTGAACCATACATGGGATCATTATCAAAGTTCATTTTTTAAAAAGTTTGTTATGGATGTTTGCTTGAACTTTAAATTTTGATGTTTAAATTAGTCTTAAGTGCTTTCAACCTACATAAACCGTGAGAAAAAAAAAATAAAAAGAAATGTTGAGATGTATGTTGTAAATGCATGCAAAATATGACTTACATAGAGAAATTAAAAAAGAGAAAGAAATAGCATTAGAGGAGTAAAGTGAACCGTTTTCAATAATTTGGGATGTAAAATGAGCAAAAAAAAATGTTTAGGAGGTTAAGTGCTTTGGTGAAATAGTTAAGGGAGTAAAATAGACTTTCTCTTAAAATTAATGGAATCACCATATATAACTCATGGTCAACATATATATCACCTACCACTAATTAGCCGTCAATATAAATACCTATACAAAGTCTATGACTTAATCCCAACAAATCATTGTGACTCCTAACAAAACAAAATTCTAGAACACTTTATTTAAAAAAACCAAGACCCTATTTTATCATTAGCAAACAATTAATTATAATTTTAGACAAACAAAAGAATAATTAATAGAAATTTAATTGTAATTTTAGACAAACAAAAGAAGAATTAATAGTATAGACGGAAAAAACAGAGAAAGTTTGATGAATTTCTCTACAATATGATCGATTATGTTAAACTGGAACTCAAAAAATTCCATTCAACTATAATTTTTGCATGAGTTTCAAGGAAACTAAACTGATTTCTATACTTTTTTTTTATGAAAATGCGCTAATTAATAACACAAAAATAATATATACAGGCTATAAATTGAGTGCGCCGGTGATTTTCTAGTATCCAGTACTAAATTGATTTTTTTATGGGACGGAGGGAGTACGTTAGAGGTACTCCTTCCTTCCAAAAAAACTCAATCTAGGTGCGAATGTGACCTATTCTAGCACAACGAATCTGAACCTTTTGTTTAGATTCGTTGTATTGGGATGGCTCACATCTTCACTTAAATTAGTTTTTTTTGGACGGAGGCTCTAGCCCCAAGAGCCTGCGCCAGCGGTGAGTGGCGACTGAATCCTCCATGCGTGTGGACGGGGAGGAGGAGCGGCGGGTGCGGTGGCTGGGATGAGGCAAAGGGCGATGGACTAGGAGAAGACGAGTTGCTAGAAGGGTAGGTGAGGAATTTATTTCGTTCCGCTCCCCATGTCCACACGCTTGGGGTAACACGCACTGTGGGCTGGTTTTCTTCCACAATACCTTCATCCAATTAAGCCATACAAAATAGGATACTTGCATTGTGGGAAAGAGTCTTTAGGCTAACTTTTTGGGCTAGGACCCGCGCTGTGGTGTTTGCACTGCGAGTGCCATGAGAGTCCTGAGTCCCGACCAACTGCTAGCTTCCCTCGCACAGAGCATGCAGACCAACCTCCTTGTAGGATGCTGTCCTTGCCGCTATCAGGGGGTGTTTAGATCTAGGGGTGTAAAGTTTTAGCGTGTCGCATGAGGTATTATATAGGGTGTTGCATGAAGTATTCGTGCACTAATAAAAAAAACTAATTACAGAATACGTCAGTAAACCGCGAGACAAATTTATTAGGGTAAATTGGAATCCGTCATTAGCAAATGTTTACTGTAGCACCACATTGTCAAATCATGGAGAAATTAGGTTTAAAAGATTCGTCTCGCAAATTAGTCGCAATTTGTGAAATTAGTTATTTTTTAGCCTATATTTAATACTTAGTGCATGTGTTCAAACGTTCAATATGATATAGTGTAAAATCTTTGTGTGGAAACTAAAGAGGGCCTCAGTCGCATGTAGCGAGTACTTGGTCAGACAAGCTCCACATGAATGTCGTCGCTCTAGCTGTTGGTCAGCCCATGCACCTCGTCACCTTGGTCTTGGATGGGTGCCACCTCAGCTCATAGGGCCTAAACAAGGAGCCACCAGCCTATATCGAAAGTATCTTACAACCTATATCGAAAGTATCTTACAAC